AGTAATCCTGCTGTACTTTGTAACCTTACCTACACGGAGTGCCAGCCATTATTGGGATGTACAGCCGAACCTTTTATCTAATGCGACATAATATAATAATGTGATACTTTATTGATCCTCAAAAGGAAAACAGTCTTTTTTTCCCCTTGCCATAGTTCATAAAGGGGTCAGAGGTCGATACCAGTAGGGAAGCCCCTGATGACCTGCTGGAGTTTGATCAAGTTAGCTATGGTGCGGCATGGGAGTATCTCTAAAGCCATGATCCAGACTCAGACGGTAGTTGTTTTGCTGTGAGAAAAGTAAGGCCCAGTTCAACGTGATCGGATTACTTGGGGTAATATTCCAACATTTTGTTTAAAAATGTAAGATCTGATTTAAAGTGTTGTTAAAGCTACTTACATGATGAGAAAACATTAAATGCGTCGTTGTTTCGTTTTTGTCAGAATTAGAATCAGGACCATTTATTTTCATTTATTTACTTATTTAAATGTGTTGGACATACAAGGAATTTGTCATGGTAAGTTGAGTTTTAGACCAGACGAAGTTGTGTTTTTGCTCTTCACCAACTATATCCAATATAGAAAAGGCTCGGCTTGACTTAATTTTGCTACCAGGTGCTTTTCTTAATTTAATCATTGGGGGGACCCACTCTTGATTCGTGTACCTTTTGACAGTTCCTTTTACCGTTACCGTAAAAACCATAAAAACGGAAATACGCAAATACCACATTTTTCTCGTTTTTTTGTTTTATGTCAAAAATGGTAAAACTAAAGTGGGCGGTCATTTTTTCGTTTTTCATTTAGAACCAAAAAACGAGACAAACTGACAACTTTTACCAAATCCCTTTTGGGGTTTTGCCCATAAAACGAAAATACAAAGCGTAGCCGGTCCGTGTACGGTCGGAATGATCCGTGTAGGTCTGTGTACCTTTTGATAGTCATTCTACAGAAAAGGTGGAGTTTAGGTAGTACAAATATTCTGAAATGTATTTCTCCTTTCATACCAAAAACTTCTTTTAATCTATTTAAACCAACTTCTAAACGTAATGAATCCACAAAATGGCGACATTTTTTAATAAAACTGCAGACGTTTTCACAATATTGTAATTATATTATTAATATTCATTTGTTTTGCGTTTTTTTTTCTGCCAAACTAACAAATTAAGAATATTCAAACAAAAATTGTGAGATACTAACTGAAAAATGTATCATTGCATCACCAATCAATACAGAAAAAATAGCATATAGTATCACATTACTGAAAAAACATTTAGTAACACCAGTGACGCAATATAACACCATGAGATTCTTGAAGACAGCATTTTTCATATGATTTCCATACATGTTTCAAACTATTTATTAAAAACAAATAAAGGGCTTGCCACCGCCACAAACGAAATTGGAAATAAACATAGCTACCAGTGAAACTCTAAAAACAGTCTTGCAGTGTGTATGTGGCTCATTTATACAGGGATGTCACTGGTGTTACCAGGAGGAGTAACACCAGTGACTGTAACTCCAATGACGATTTAGAGAAAAACCTGCAATTTTTACAAAATGGCTGCCATGTGTCAGACCATGTTTTCAGGAAAATCAAAACCATTAAACTGTTCAATATAAATCAGTTTTCACGTTCAATTTTGGACCTTGCGACCAATAAACGAGTAACACAAATGACAGGCTTAAAAGCTTCATTAATTTATATCACTGTATTTTGAAGAAATTAAGTAAGACATCTGACTTACCATATAGCTATGTCCACTGAATTTCCTTAAAGGACCTCTTGATCCAGAGTTTTGTGTCACAATAACACCAATGACATAATTCTTTGTAACTGGTAGTAATTTGGCATTTTTAATAATAATTTTAACGTTTTTTTTAATCATGTGGATGTTATATTTATTATTTGTAATGTTCAATGTAACAATAAATTTGAAATAACCCATTCCATTTTTTTAAATAAAAAAGGGCTCGACTTCCATGAAAGAAAAAAGTGACAAAACAATTCTTAGATCTTAGTTTAAATACATTGCCAAAATGTAACATTAAATATTGGATGAATAAACTTAGTTTTATCATGCCAAGGACAGTCTTTACTAATTGTACATATATAATTTATGCCGTTTTTAAGCTAACGTAAAGGATTTTAGTGTCTGTACAAGTGAATGACAGCAGTTTCAACTTTTTTTTTGTAGAATGACCCAAAAAACATAAAACGGTCCGTGTACCTTTTGATAGCCCCTTTTACCGTAAAAAACAGAAAACGAAAACACTTTTCTCGTTTTAAATCAAAAGCGGTAAAACAGAAGTGGGCGGTGGGGTAACATGAGTTTATTAGTTGGATATAAATAAATAATCCTAGTCATCATGTAGTAGTTGACTACATGCAGGTGTATTTTCATTCATGCATGTACACAACGATACTCATCGGTTCGGTATGTAGGCTAATAAAATAGCTAATAATAAAGTTAGATGTACATTTGAGTAATTTCCTCTATCATCACCAAAGTCAAAGGTCACATTTATCCGGAGTACACTGTGATGTCCTTGATAAAGTAGCAAGCAGGAGTCCCTTGGTAACTCTGGAGGTGGACAGAATCTGTCCACAGGACAACTAGTAACCGTGTACTCCATAACATCTGGAGTGGCAAGAAAAAAGCTGCTATTGAAAGAACCATAAGAAATCTCCTTTAGAGTTTGCCATAAGCCATGTGGGAGACACGGCAAACATGTGGAAGAAAGGGCTCTGATCAGATGAGATCAAAACGTTTTGGACTCAATGCCAAAAACTGTCCATCAACCTGAGCACACCATCCAATAGGGAAATATGGTGGTCATGGCATCATTTCAGACTCTATATTTGACCTATTTACAAGTAGATGGAAGGGATAATATAACAAGTGCTGACAATGTTGTCTTGCACCAATCATGCATTTGAATCCATCTTGAAAAATTCTGGCAATTTATTGAGAGCACTGTCCAGCAGTACACGAACATCTAGGTAAAGCACATTCCATCTCTGTGTGACGTGGGCTTTAGGGGAAGCAACCAACAACGCCACCTGGGGACTTACACCCAGAGAAATACAGACTTAAATACCCAAGGCATGCAAATAAATGACTGTGGATTAGGCAGAGACATTTGTAGTAATTAAGAAAAAGGTTTTATTAAAGAAAACAATGAAAGGTAAACACAAACAGGATTAAGATTATAAAAAACAGGCAAGTTGAACACAGCAAACAACACGGCAAACAAAACAACTGAGGAAAACAGCAGAAAGTAAACCAAAGAAAACATAAAATTACAAAATATAAAATGGCAAAACAGCAGCAGGTTCTCCCTCTCTCTCTCTATTTGTACAGCACAGGACCAAAGGTGACTTTGTGTTAGTATACAGAATACAGTGTAACACTAACACAACATGCGAACCACCATACCTGTACAGCACAGGACCAAATGTGAATGAGGCCTTGACGGCAGGTGCTTTTTAAAGGCTTCCACTAATCGCCGTTGGTTGGGGAGGAGCCAGCTGAAAGGCTGTGTTCCCAACCCCACCACATTTGCAGCTGTCTCCTGGTCCTGAGCGCTTTGTTAGTGCCAAAGTATGACACTCTTGTTAGTGAGTCAACCTCTTCACCCTGCAGCTACTGATGCATCCGGCTTCGCTGGCCTAGTAACGCAGGATACTCTGGTTTTTCAATGGTTTTCTCTTGGAAATAAAAATTCTGTGCGAATTCTGAGAAGCTTCCCTAAAATCTGGCTTTGAGGTGGAACTAACATGAACGCAATCAGTGATAAGTTAAGGCTTTTTTTCCCCCAAAAGTTACAAATCTGACGACAAAAAAACTTTAGTTTTCTCGTTTTTAATCATTTTTTTTTAATTAAAAACGAAAAAAACAGTGCTTTCGTTTTATGGTTTTTACGGTAAAAGGAAAGGAAATTATCATAACAGTTTCAGATCTATCAGGATCTGTTGGAGCTGACATGAGAGCGTCTGAGAGGGCAATCCACAGGATACGGTTATAACAAATGTTACACTTGCTACGGCCATTGAGCCGACACAGGCATACTGCATGCATGCGGGCCTATGGCTCTTTCCCTGAACGTTTAAAGAGCCCCTCGGAGGGAAAATTGAGTGCTCTATTAGAAGAAAAAAAAAAAGCTCAATGCAGTTTAAGCTTTACGTCCGAGGCACACAAACCCTTTCTTGCAAACTCTCTCGATTGAAGATTAAATTATAGACTTTACGATGTTCTCACCTTGAAAGATGTTACAGCCCAAAAACTATTACTCACTTCTCAATTTAGGGACCGGAACTTGACATATAAGGGACAAAATACACACACACTTGTGTCTTTTCTGTGTTTGTAAAATACAACAAAACCTAGAAATGAATTTCAAAAGAAAGTTGGAATAAAAAAATATGTTAGGGTTTTTGCAAAGTTTGTTGGATTTGGCAAAGAATATTGCAACAGCATTAATAATAATACACCAATGTGCAATCTCTCTCACCCCCCCCCCCCCCCCCACACACTTTTCTTTTCAAAAGTTTGTGGAATTTCATTCACTCAACTGGGCTATTGGTCTATGTTGGGGTCAGCTCCAATTCAGAAAGCTTTTACACAGCTTTTTCTTAAACGTTTCTCAATACAGCAAATGAAAAGAAAATTGTTGAGCTGGGTCCACTTGTTGAGTTGTGCAGGCCAAATTGGAACCAATCTGACCCCAATCCTTGTTTTGCTGTAAAAGCATTTCCTTTGCACCCTTTTGAGGAGCGAACAAATAATAAAATACCGCAACTCTCAGGGACCAAACGATATAATTCAAAACATTGATAGATAATAGGGACTGCATTGGTAGCTTGAACCAGTTAAAAAAATGCCTTGAAAGTAGAGCACAACATAAATTAAAACGTAAGCAGTGAATTTTTTTGTTTTGCAGATAAGAGGGAAATCTAATCTGTGTTAGAAAAAGCAGAGTTGACAAAATACAAGAAAGCGATTGGCAATGGAGTAAAACCTTTATACGACTTATAGTGTGAATACAACAGAGCTTTGGTCAGATATTTCTAATGTCCCACACATGGGAATTTCGCAGGTTAAGACATCTGGGGAGCATGTGCGTCCTGACATTCCGTATTGAGAGCTGCTAGCTGTGTTCACACATCTTAATAAGGGCACTTATGAATAACAAACAAGAAGAAAAATAAAATAGGTAAGGTAAGTTAAGAAGAAAAAAGTGATTAAGAAATTTACAATAAATACAGTTAAACATTTTCTTTTAGGGATTAAAAAGATACCCTGTTCATCTTTGTGATAACGCAGATTAACAAAAGTCATTAGAGAATAACCTCTATGACTTCCCTAAACATTACCTTTGGCTGTGTTATTTGGTTCATATATGTTCTCAGGACTGTTTGACAATGCCCAAATTACAACAAAAGGTCAGTTTGTGTCACAAAAGTCAAATGTACGGAAGCCCTGTGAAAGGTCAATGAGCTGTTTTCTCTCGTGCGTTCATGAGCAGGTGAAAAATATCATATATTGTGTGCTGGCAAGTTGTGTAAATTAAAACTCATCATAAATTCTTTAAGTCCTATTTCACAATATTTGGTAGTGGTGCAATTAAGATATGTGTACTGAAAATGAGTCCCAGATTTAGTTTTAAACGTGGGAAAAACTAGATTTGGATATCACTCTGAAATATTTTATTTTAACATTTTCTTCAGTCATGAACACAGGACATAAAGATCACATGGGTCGAGAAATGTTCTAAACGCTTCTTAGGACTCCCGTAAAATTGTCTCTGTAGAAATCAAAATAAAATAGAGACTAGTGCGTGGTATAATATCCAACAGGGACAAAATGTGATGCATGCATTCAGATAAAAAAATCTAGAACAAGTGGAAGGTAACGCATCCATGATGGAGTGTTCCCTCCTGCCACCTAGTGCTCAGTCCACACTCCTATATCTGGTGAAGAGGTTGTAGAGGACGCGCAGTGTCGATTTCAGGTCGCAATTCACTATATCTGGAAAAAAGGAAAACAGACAGAAGTTGTACATCAGGGAGTGAACTAGCTTGCTTCCACAATAAAATCAACAAAACAAGGGTAGAGCAAGAATATAAAGCATAAATGCAGATTTAAACAGGTCTTTTGAGCTACAAACTAAATTACATCTAAATCACTGTACTGTGATGAAACATACCAATGCAGGTTCAATATTTGCAATCCTTACCAAATTTGTAAGTAAAAGGTTGCAAATAGCACCCAATTTCAGTTTTAAACAAACAAACAAACAATCTAGATCTGAACTATGCCTATTCTTAGATAGATGGGAACGCTTGGGACTAATCTACATCGTGACGCCACAGACTCAGTGAGACTCAGACTCTCGTGACGCCACAGACAGCACTCTCTAATCAGACCCGGGTTGTAGTTCTGGACCAGACACCCTAAGTTCAATGTGCGTCCTACCTTCTGGTCGGGGCTTTGGCCTCTCCAGACCTCCGTCCTGCATCAGCTCAAAGGAGAAGGACACATTGTGGACCTGCGGAGCGAGTTAGGAGGCTGTGAGGAACCAGTACGCACGTGCACACACACAAAACCACGCGCACACACACACACACACACCTCCTCGCTGATAAGTGAACAGTGGACACTGGTTCCTAAATCCCACAACACGGGGGGGGGGGGGGGGGGGGGTGAGGAGCGATTCAATCGTGCGACCACAGCTTCCTGTGCTGGCAAACACTATGCCGCTCGGTTCTGTAATAACTTAAGCCTTCAGCAGCTGCACAAACAACTAGTTTATCAACGGACGCATGTCGCCGCGGTCACTGAAACACTCCCAAGAAGTTCATAGCGTAAGAAACAAGCGTGAACACACACAACGCAGGAACACACGTGATAGATCAAATCGACACTGGGGTTTATTTAAAAAGACGGAGCCTGAATCTTTGACAGGTGGAATTATTCTGTATTTTTCAATCTTTACATGGACCTGCGGAGGAAACCAGCAAAGACGTCTGAGTCAATATGAAAAGTGAGAAGGAATACCAATCAATCAAAGGGGAGAAAGAGATGAAAGATGTTTTTCTATTCTCTGCCCATTATGTGTGTGCGTGTCTGCTGTGATGTACTAAAAGCTTTGCCCAACAAGGGCTCAATGTGTGAAAAACATGACCGTAGCCTTCTATAACACCCAAAAAAAAAGAAAAGCAGAGAGAACGAGCCATAAGCAGAGATCTACTGAGGAGAAGATGAAGACACACACACACACCTCAGCCCTTAAGCCACTCCAGTGTTTCCCTGTGCAAAAGGAGATTACAGATGCTGTGGGGCTGGTGCCTTCGTACGGGCCAGGAGTGGCTGTGTGTGTGTGTGTATCGTCGCACCGATGCCCATTCTGCTCCCTGGCTTGGCAGGGGCCTTCTGGCCGAGCCCCAAACAAAAGGCTAGTGTGGCGTCTATGCTGATCGCCCGTTCAGAATGCCGCAGTCAAGGAGAGGCCAATGGAGAGGAGAGATCGCTCAATGGGGTTCGAGGGAAGAAGAAACAGCGAATGGCATTTTTTGGGGGCGACGGGGTGAGCGGATTCCTCAAAGTATTTGATTCATTCAGTGCAGAGGGTCCACCATGCAGCAGAAAGCAAAACAACTGCACATGTGCATCTATTGAGCGACTGTAGCCCTTGTGTACCCAATTCGGCAAATGGACAGCAGACATAGCCGGGGACGTTAACCTTAAAATCGTGGATTCCGATCAGCATACAGAAAAACAATGACAGAACATCTTCAGTTGGTTGGCAGCTTGATTCGAGGGTTGCGTTTGGGATTCCACATTTTACCTTTTGTTCGAAATTTTCTGGTGTGAGAAAAAAGTTGTAGAGCGGCACAAAGTATCCCTCCAACAGCCCCATCAGCAATACCAGATAAACGCCGTCTGCAAACTGACACAAGCACAGGCCGGTTAACAACGGTGAGGGCTGATTTGGTAACACATGCTCATCATCTCAGGCATGTGACATGTAGGAGCACTGTGTTCCTGTGTATGTGAAGTACCTGTGTGTCCAATTCAGACACCTCAAGGTTGAGCTTGTTCAGGTGTTTGTTCACAAACGTGATCAATGTCTGAAAACAGAAAAGGAAAAAGGCTGTCACACTATATCCACACACACATATCAAAAAACAACAAAGCAAAGGACATCCAGGTTGTGGCCATAATGTGCTAATAAACTCCAAACCCAAAAAGGACGGACGAAGAACGGATTTTGTCGCAATCCCAAAGTGTCCCATATTTGGAGAATTACTTTACACTTTAATCATTTTAATTACTTTCATTTGCCGTTTTAGCCGCTAAACTAAAGTATCTGGCCGGCAGTCACTGTTTCGAATGATTCCACCAATATATTACACATCTGAAGATAAAAGTTTGAAAACCGGCTTTCCGTGACAACGACTGGCTCAGAGTTCTGTACTTGTGTGGGACCGGAGATCAAAGAGCATGGACCTGCACCGCGGACTGCAGTGAAAGGCCCGGTTTAGGGGTTTAAATACCCATAGAGAGATGGTCATCTCTTTAAATCTGCCTTCCTGAGACCTCGGATTGCTGCTACTGTACCTTTTTGACAACATTCAGCTTATCTGGAGCATGGTCAAACAGAGTGTCAAAAGCGTCGCGTTCTGTGAGGAGTAACAAAAAGAATAATAATACTTCCGTCAAAAACCAATGACGTCTGAATGTTGCTGACAAATCTTAAATAAAATCTCCAATGCGCTCTTCTTGGTGGAGGACATACCATGTCTTCCAGAGAAGGCCCTGAGAGGGAAGAGGAAGAAAAACACACGGATCAGAAGCAAATTATTAACAATTTCACCCTTGAATATTCATAGAAAAATGAAAGGCGAGCACTTCCAGTCCAATCACAGAGGATTGCCACAGAAAATGACAATAATGTAGCTGTGGCGTCATAATTTCATTAACAATGAACACAGGTACGCCTTCGGGTGCTCACAAATAACCCGGGCATCGTTTCCGGGGCTTCCACAGTGCCACATACTGTACCAATCCCCGCAGCAGAACAATGGCAGTTGGACGTTGATGCCATGAAAGACGTGCCCTTCGTAAGCACGCAAGTGTTCTATGGGAATGGAGAGGCCACTCTCTGGTTGTTGTAACAATGTTAGCACTTTGGATGATGTTGCTGTTGGAAAAGCTCAGGTGGTTTCTTTCTGCTGTGGTGTCTCCGAGGAGGAGATATCGCAGCGGGCAGGACAGCGAGAAAAAATAGCTTGCACACACAAATCTGTCATGGCAAAGGCGGGCAGAACTGGGCAACGGGTCCTGGTGGTGTGGTAATAACTATTTCCACTGTGACCGTGTGTGTGTCTGTTATTAACAGTGTATCCAGCTAACGTGAAAAAGTGTGTGCGTATGTGCTGGCCCGCCGTTATCTCCCCCGCCGCTGCCGTCTGGCTGCAGGAGCGCCTCACAGTAAGACAATAAAGGTGTATGTCTGTGTGTAGTGTATGTGTGCTTTAAAACAGTCTAATTCTTCAGCTTAAGGGTGCCACATATCTGGTTGAATCACAACGGTTGTCGATTCAGTGGTGCACAATGATTGTGCTCAAAGTGCATGCTGCACAGTTCTGTTTGCAGGGGGGGAAGAAGACATTCAAGGTCCCAGCCGCAGTTGGGATTTCCACTGACTGCAGTGGGGTTTTTTAACGGTCATCATGCATACGTGCATAAATGCTTTTGGGTTACTTATTAGGATCAGATGAATTTTATTTTGCCAAATTGATGGAGGGATTTTGATGCCAGCAATTATTATCTAATCTATCATATAATCTGACTTTAAAGTGGCCGAAAGACGCTCTATTTACAATGATTGTGGATGAGCACGGAGGAAAAAGTGGGTCGACCATCGGCTGGCAAATGGGAATGCGCGTCAGTCTTCTCATTCGCTGTCGTGAGCAATCCCTACGTAGCGGAAATGGTGGATGGTGGAACTGCTGGAGTAATGGTATTGCGTTGAGAATAAAGTTGGAAAGAGAGTGAAAGAGCACAGTGGACGGAGGACACAAAGAGGGAAAGGAATAAAACCCCTCACATGGGTGGGTGGGTGGTGAAGTATCTGATGCAATTACTATTTCTGTCATTGCAGCAGATACCTATTAGCAGCACTGTTCTTGCACCTTGTGCGTTGGGGTGTCAAAACGAGTCGGGTAGCAGAGCGTACTCACTCTGTGTTGCCGGTGATCTCCTCTTGAATTTGCCTGGACTGAAGGATGCCTTCTCTTTTCTGAAGGACACAAAAAGCAGGACCAGATGCTGGGGCTTATCAGAGCAACGTTCTCCGAGAAAGGGAAGACTTGCTATACTGTTAAAGTAAGCAGGCTGCATACCTGAACGACCACCACCTGAATGGAGACGTGGTCCGGCAGTCTGATCGGCGCCCTGAAGTGCTGTGACAGCGCCACCAAGAGGTGCAGGATGGCAACAATGCTTTTGGCATGAACCGCTAGAGTTGAGGACAAAGGGAGAGCAAAGGAGTCACGGAGAGATGTTATCAATGACCAACTGTACATGTAACTCAGCTCTTTGACAAGCCCGCTAAACTCCTTGTTTATTTACCATCATCCAAACCTGTTGGTGCTAGTTCCAATGATCACAACCCACAGATGGATCAAAGCCCGCCCACACCAAAGATGTACCAGAAGTGTTTTTGGCGGCATAGAATCGGACAACAGATCTTTTGAGTGGAATGTGTCAGTGAAACCACCAGAGGTGCTTCCAAATGAATGAACACCCAAAAAAATATGCAGTTTGGTGTAGCAGAACACGAGATTGGCTGCAGACGGACGCAAACACCCACTCACGACCAATCTCCTAGCAGAGACAATCATACATGCATGAATCAGACTCCGGAAGAAAACAGGTGTTCTGTGGACTGTTTTTGGCAATTTCAACGAGATCATGCGGCCACCGCTTGAGTAATGAAAACACGCTACCAATGTATTGAGACATTCTTAGAATCTTCATCTATTAAAAATCTGTCAATTGTAACCGAGCAGAGTTGCATGAGCCCCGCTCACTGTTGGTCGCCAAATAACAAACGGCATATTTTCCATTATTTTCCAAACTTGAAGAAATGTATCATTTAAAGTTGTTACCACAAGGTCAAGCAGCTTCAAAGATGAACACAATCAGGGTGCCAAAAGTGGCCTTGCAGTGATTTCACAAAAGGTCGTAAATACACAAGCTGTCAGATGAGAGACGGAGGATTCGAGTTCTTGTGAGGATCTTCAGCCTTAAGTCGACCACAGAGAGCCTGTTCAGTCAGACGGACAAATAGGATTTACCTTTGGATACACAATCAGGAACAATTAAGTTCCCAAAGCAAGCCTCTGATTGAACCCCGTGGCATCGGCGAGTCACACAGAGCATGAGAGGATCCAAAAAGGATACATCAGGAAAGACGAAGAAGAAGAAAGGGACAAACAACAGTGGAATGATTTAAAAATAGGGAGAACTACTCAAATAAAAGGGCTTTAAAATCAATTACATGTCATGTTATTTGCCCCTACGCTTTAGCATTTTTCTATTTCTCTTATGGCTCATGTGCACCTTACGGCTAATGACGGAGGTAGAAAGCCCGGTGGTAATTATTGCGGATAAAAGAGCGCCGTCAAAAGGAGAGGAGGAGAGCTCTTATTGACGAGCACCGGCTGTTGTTCTCCATCTCAAAGCTCCCACCTCAATAAGGGGGATATTAATCCAATGGCGACAGCATTCAGACATAAAAAAACAATCCTGTGAGTGGGGCTTTTTTGAAAAAGAAATACAGAAAGATAAGAAAACCTGGCAAGTGGCTGCTACTCTCCACGCAGGAGGGGTCAGGCTGGGAGATGGGCTCTTTTAAGGATGGACATCACTTCATTTTGAACGTTATTACAAGATAATAAATGATATTTTATAACCATTTACGGCAATTTGGGGTAGAAAAATCATTTTGTGAGCTCTCCCATATAAAAGTAAACCCTGCTATCAAATTGCCACTTTGGCGCTTCCGTGTTACAATTTCCTTTCACTCACCGACCAAAATGCTCCACTTCGTTTTGAATCTCTCTCACTGTTTGCAGCAGAACCACTGCAGGCTTTTTTAATGTTCTGTAATGGTTGTACTCCTGATCTGGTTTCTACTGGGAGAGGTCTGAGGACTTCTCCCTTTCTGACCACTAGTGTACCCCTATGGTTGAATGCACTTATTGTAAATTGCTTTGGATGAAAGCGTCAGCTAAATGACATGTAATGTAAAAGTGTAGCGTCCTTCAGGACCAATTACTTAAGACCTTTACACATAATTAATTAAATCGTTTTAGAAAATTAAAATAGTCCCCTGCGGCTATTCTGCCTCAAATATTTCCATCTTGCGAAAGTTTCAACACTATTCCAATAAAAGATTCAAACGGCTCAGGCTGAGGATCTTATTGACCCGAAGCAGCGCCTGGCAGTCTGTCTGAGCTGGATCAATGTGCAGCTTCAGAAACAGTGAGCCATTTTATCGGACTCCCGCTTACCAAAATGAGTGAATTTTAGTTCCCAGGGGTAAATGGTTATGCAGTGTCTACGGCTTTTATTGAGAAATGTAACAAAGGAAGGAGTCGTTGTTGTCTGCACTTCCTTCGTCAAAGTCAAAAGGAGTGAAAAAGTTTAACATAAAAAAATCCAAACTCACTGATTTAAAATAACGGAATAGTACCCAGATAGTTAATCCCAGAATAAAATAGACAAGGAGCCGACCTGCCAATAAACCGACACAACTGTGCACACCTTGTCGGCAGATCGGGTTTTCACAAGCAGACTTATTTTTTTTAAGCGTGGACCACAGTAAACCTGGAAATGTTAAGTGGAATAGAAAGTGTCCTCACAGTCGACGTTCCAGCGGATGTTTCTGGTGGACAGTTTGAGGGAGTCGTTGATGCGCTCCAACACAGTCTGCAGCTTCTGCTTCTGGGCGATCTCCGACTGTGTCACCTCGGCCACGTTCAGCTTCTCGCCCTCCAGCTTCTCTGCAGCACCGGGGTACACATGAAACACCCGGAGGTTAGTGGACGCAGCAGCAGCCGCGGAGATTCAAAGAGTTCAGACCGCCGGCTCCTCACCGAACAGCTTCTGCAGCACCTGTCCATCGTACAGGTCCTCGGCCAGGTCCTTCACGATGATCCTCTCCCCCACCAGGACGTCGTTGATCCAGTCAATCAGCACCTTTGTGGGAACAAAAAAAAAAAAAGAAAAGTTATTCGGAGGGTTACTTCTGCCCACATCTAGAGCCGCTGTGGCTCAAGGTTGACTTTAATGGTCTTCACTGTCCGTCCCTGTCTAGCTGAATGGCTCTGCTAACTGATCAAGCAGTTTCAAATCAATTGAAATATGTCGTTCAATGGAATTCTGAGTTCCTCAGAACTCAGTGATCTTTCCAGGCCATGCCGTTGCTGCTGGGACATATAGCGTTGCCCCAATGCGAGGCCTTAGGTATCCGCTCCATAATATGCCTGCTGGGACCCAGTGATTGCGCAGCACCACTCACATTTTTGAGAAGGAATGGTGTAACCTGTGTGCAATGAAGGGAAGTCTGGCTCACACCACCACACTTCTTTCACTTCTTCTCAGCGCTTTCTTTGGACAGCCTGTGTACTTTGTCGCAAGCACAATATGAAGGAATGGGCAGCCTGAATGACCTCACCCTCATGAGCTCCTGCAGCTTGCGGTCGGTCTTGGAGTTGGGATCCACCATGGTGCGCACTTCGTTCTCCTCTGGTGGGTGAGCACAGACGGGAGAAATGTTAAAGCCGGGGCGGGGTGTAGTATTACAATATTATCATTTTAGATTGTATATTTATTATAAAGTTACACACCCCGTGTTACATTTAATGCTTGGAGAAAACGTATCAACTTGGGGAAAAGTGGATTTTTAATAAATTAATATAAAAATAAATAAAAGGTTTCAAAGGCAAAAAACAAACCCACGCAGCCTTTAAAGCGATGTGCCAGTGTTTACCTAGCATTGTGTCCTCTGGGTCCAGTTCGTAGTGGGACGGGCTGAGAGGAAGGTTGATAGCATTAATTCCTTCTTCCTGAAGCTCAGACACTGTGAGGAAGACGTACACACATCATCATCACTTTCATTCAGACTCCCCCCTCCACAACACTTAAGGCTGGCGCATGCTTCTGCGTTTGCGTCTGCGTTGTTGCGTCAACGCACTCGTTTCAATTCATGGTTCTGCGTGTGTTGCAGAGCAATTCACCGCCAGAACAGGCGGAGTGACGTGTTTTTGTTGAAGACGACCTAGAGAGTCTATTTATTTATTTATTTATCATAGACTTTATTGCCCCGTGCATCGCCACTGTTGCTTTTCATCGCGGACACATTTGTCCCGTATTTTCCTCCACAACTTGTGCACCTCTCGACCGGCACACCGGCGTTTGCGGCGATCTCCCTCCGTGAATCCAACCCGCTTCTACAACCCGCCAATGACGACTTGTAGAAGCGGTCATATTTATTTATTTCCTCCGACAAAAGTTCTTAAATCTGCTCCGTTCTCTCGTAAACATTCTTCGTTTTAATAATGGCGGTGTCGGGCTATGAAAGCGGAAATATGAGACTCCGTAAAGGATGTAGTTAGCGGGCCAATCGCAGCCTTGTGCGCTGCGGGAGGCTTGCGTTGCAAGCCTAGAAAAATGTCGGTCTGTCTGTAAATGGAACAGGATGTAAACGCCAATCATCCCAAAGCCCTAAATAAAGTCTTTGGGTTCATATCCGACAGATAATCCCAATTTTAGGGATATTCTATGTTCAGCGATAATATGACACCGAAGCCACTAAATCCTCCCGTTAGAGAAGCTGGAACCAGGGAAGGTTTGTCGCTTTAGCTCAATGAATCGATCCAAAGGGCCGACTGACCATTTAAATAGCTAGCCAGAAATAAAAAAAAGCTAAATCTTGCAAAGCCGAGAAAGTCTTTGAAGCCATTTCTTGCACCGACCAAAGGACGACACTCACATCAGCTGAGAGATGAGGACAGGGATCGAACACCGGCCCCCGACCCCTCCCACTCGATGCCACAAAGAACCATTAGCCTTACGACGTCAGACCAACACGGAGCGTTTCTGCTTCCTGCTTCTCAGCGGGCTTTTATAGAAAACCCAGCATGCCTTTCTTCTCAGTGTGTCAGATACCTGAGGAGGCTTGATCACTGTGTGAGAGCATGGAGTGAACATCCTGTGCATTTCTCAGTGTTCACTGGAACAACATCCTCTCAATCAACACCATCCACCACTGCTGGCATAGTGCGCATGGGGAGGGGGGGGGGGTATTCCAACAGAGCGCTGTGCGAGGATCCTGCATGAACAGAACAAACTAAAAGAAGGTGGATGAATTAAAACCAACTAAAAACCATGAGTATGTATACATGTTGTTATTATAAATTGAATTTGAGATGCTCCATTGGTTTAAAAGGTCATAAATGGAAAAAGGTTCATTTGAGCAGGCGAAAGAGAACATGGGTCGGCTTTAAAGAAAGACTACCACACGTTTGAGAGGAGGAACACCGTGGAACTCAACTGACCCAACCACAGACTGGGTGTAAGAAGTGGATGTACCGCCCCTCGGTTTGTAGACTGATATTTTGAAGTCCCGAGTCTGCCAATTCGAAGGCCTCCATCCTTATGGTGATGGCTGTAATAAAGCCGTAATATCGGGTTTTTTGCAACCGATAGACTGAAGTGACCATATTTGGAACGTGGGGGGGAGACAGAGACCCGTCAATCACAGAACGCTCGCCCTGAAGCGTTGCTTTTTGATCTTTTCAACTTCAAATGAAGGCGGGGGTGGGTTACTTATGGTTACTGTCCACAGCTGGAAACTTACAGGCTCATGCAAAAGCACGGCTGGGATGGCAGGCTGCGATGACACCACCCCCAATCAACCAGATTCTGTTATTATGGTAATTATCACTTTTGCTATTTAGGGATGAGCAAGTACGTGGAGACCAAGGCGGGTGGATGTATAACGCGATGTGGCGGGGAAATGGCTGGGGTGTTACCTCCATCAGCACGTCAGATACGTTCAGCGCAGAACTGATTTGCCATCAGCATTGCAACCAGGGTGAAGGGGAGCAGAGTGCTCCACAGTCCCCTGCCCCTCTCCTCCACGGGCGGAGCTCACAAGTCTCTAATGCAACACCTGATCCCATATATTCCATTCTTACTTCCACAGGAAGGACACATTTACACAACACCTCTCCTGAGTTGTGTGTGCTATATTTCCACGTCCAGCACTCATACCTCCTGACCTTCTCCTCCTCGCTCGCTCGCTCGCTCCCCATCTTATAGGACTCTATTCTCTCGCTTGAACCTGTTTTTCATCCTCGCCCTCCTCCCCCTTCCCCGCTCGTGTGGCGACCGCCGTAACCGTCACAAGGACTTAAATCTAATCAACAATCTCCCACCAGAGAGACCAACCCACGTTCTCCATCAAGAGAACACACTGCAGACATGCTACACACACACTGCAATGTGTGTGTAACAATGACCCAGCATGGATATAATGTGATTGCATGCATGCCGTAGACAAAGGCCACCTGAAACGTGGGCTCAGCTGTGTCAGAGTATCCCGAACGACACAACGTAATCATCCGATCGAAAGAGACCTTTTCTCCACGTGGATGATAAAAAATGAAAAAAATAAACCTGGCCTTTGGCGATGAAGGCCATGCCCTCGTTAAGTCGGCTGTATTTTCCAGATCAACCACACGTGGCAAAAAGCTGAACCGGACCTTTAAGAGGCTTTCGGTGTAGGTTGATTTATACTAGCTGCTTGGTAATAAAAGTCCAATATAACAAAGCTTCATAAGTAATATAAAACAGCCGAAGCTGCAGTTTTGTATCTGAGCTGTGACATCTCACCCCCGCTGTGAGAATCAAACTCGCAATTTTTCATAGGAGGAGGAAACGCTACGGAGCGAGCTCGCACATCCAGAGAGAATGCTGAGGCCCGTCGCTCCCGGCCCGTTTTTCTTTCCAAACGGAAAAGAAATTGAAAATAAATAAGACATAAGAAGAGGCTGATCCATTGACAGGAGAACATATATTTTACATATTTTCTGCTGAGGGACACGCCCCCCCCAAATAATACATGGTTACGCCCTTGATTGTCCCACTTTGATTTTACTTGCAATGCGATAGAAAGGTGTTCAGCCTGGCATATTCCATTTACACGGAAACGTTAAGGTAACACAATAAAAGCAGAGACAGTTTAACACAGCCGGATTATTTAAGAAACAATGTTTTATTACAGCCGTTTTGATTAAATCAAGTCAATTGATTATTTGATAACTACCTGAGGCAAAAGCCTGGATGATGATTAAATAAATGAATAAAATAACAAAAACAGAAGTAAATACCCACAATGGCACACAAGTAATGATGTTGTCATTACATGACATATCGTGTGCTGTCCAAGTTGCACATTTTTTAAATTCCTTACAGTCAGAAGGTCCCCGAGCGTCCAGGGAGGCCTCTGGGCCACCACAGTGTGGGTGCTGGAGGAGCCGCAGGCCTGGGACGGGGCCCTTGTTTACTCGAGCCTCATTCCTCACTTATTACAGCGGTAGCGGACTCAATACCGTACATGGATACAGACACAGCCCGCGGCCATGAAAAAACACACAAGAGCAACAAACACGCTGTAACCTCAGTTTATTGTGCTTCCTTTCGGGGGAAATTATGTTAAACGCTGGAAATATGTAATGAAGTGAAGTATTTGTTTTAGTAATTTCATCATGACTTCTGATAACAATGTAGCGCGGCGGGCTATTGGGACTATTTATGGCTCGTTGTTTTACCTTCTTTCGCCTTTTTCCTTCTCGCCAAAGTTCCTCCAAGTTTCCCCAGGAAAGAGTCGTCTTTCTTTCTGGAGGACGGGGATTTGGGCGTCGGAGACTTCGGAGAGGACGGGGATTTCTGGGGCGAAGAGGCCATCGTGGCTGCGGTGGTTTAATCCGGGAAACGTTGACAGGGAAACTCTCCGACTTGTCGTGGAAAAGAAAAGTTGGTTGGAAAGTTAAGCAAAAAAAATCACCGTCAACTCCCTAAAGCGGAAACGGAATTCCAGACATTTATTCCTGAAGTGCGTGACCCCTCCTCCTCCGGCGGGGAGGGGCGCCACCGTTAGTGGAGCAGCCCGGAGGAAGGCGGTCTGCTCACCGTGGGAAGGGTAGCTGATCGAGGGGGTACCAAGCGCAGCAGAGGGCGGCTAAAAAAACAGAAACACGGATTGTCTGTCTACAAAACGTCGTGCCCTTTTCAGTTTTGGATAGCTATAAATTATGTCTTGGGGACGACCCGTAATTAAATTCTATTTTTTTCCTACGCTGGACTTGGTTTCTCTAATAAAACTAGCTAACAGTAAGGCTCTTGCTAGCATGTTGGCTTACAGCATGACCGTTATATTGTAATTTTTTTTATTACAATAAAAACCTACATTAATAGTTGAAACATTTATGAATTACAAATTCTAATACCCCAACTTATTTCAATAGAAAAGGAGAACCATCATAGCAGTAATGAAAGTATTTTTTTATTTAAGATTTTTTAAATCCATTTAAAAGTTAAAACAGATGTATAGAAACACCATTTTTTCAATCATGAAGGAACTTATTCACAATTTATTAATTTATAATATACACAAACTTAATAATTTGACTCACAGCCCATACATCAGTGTTAAAACCAGCACCACTAGCGTTAACCGGCAGTAGGTAGTCAGAAAAAAAATCAGCGCTTAAACACTTTCTGACCCATGTCACATCTGTGGCAGCATGTTTGCACCTCTGGTAACCCCGTCCTGAGAGTTTTTTTTAAATTGCTTTTTGGGTTCGGTGGCAGAAAATAAGGTAACATGACCGTAATGTTTTGGGTTGTTGTAGAAAGACTTACTAAAATACTGACCAATTTCCAGGTTGGTTCCTTCAGTCCTCTATGAAAGAAAGAGTGGTGACTTCACCAGACTTTGCCTGAACATTTCAACATGTGCACTTGCGGTTTTCTGCTGCATGATGCAGTTTGGAGTTATTATTATTATTATAAATAATTTAGCCTTACCACTAATTATTATTATTATAAATAATAATAATAATAATTATTATTATTATAAAAGGTGAAAATTCCAGCCACCTGGCAGATGTGCATCATACCGGCTGGCCACAGTGGCAGTTAGGATTGTTTTTTGGCATCCGAGTGATTACTATTGCATTTAATTTGAAAACACAAAAAAACACACACACACACACACACACAGTTACAAAGTGTTAAACAGTGCACGACATAAAGCATTTTTGATTTTATAACAAGTCTCAGACAATCCTCGCTGTGCCAAGGAAAGTGTCGAGTCATTCCTCTCTTAAGGCGGGAAAACACACGCTGTCAAGTTTGGTTTACGAGGCCGAAAAACTGTAAAATGCACTTCACATTATGAGCAGCGCTTGTCAGGTCAGATAACCTGAATGTTATTCGCAGCTCCTTTTCTATTCATCCACCCGTCTCTGAGCTTAGCAAAGGGAGACCAGATGGAAGCCTTGCCATCCTCTTTAAGGGTCACTAAAGACTTTCATGAATTTTCCATCCTCGACACATGATCTAGATGTGTATTTTTACAAGGAGGAGTTCAATTCCAGTTTCTTGAAAAAAACGTCGCTGAGCCTCCCCACTTTCCTACCCTTTCCCGCTTGGCCTTCACTCCGCCACCCCCCCGCCCACCCAGCTGTTGTCCGCAGGCGCCCAGTTAAACTCGTAGCCCTTGGACAGCACGAGGCCCTCCAGGTCCCTGTCCTCTGCCCTCTCCTTCAGCCTCTGCTCCTCCAGCACGGACACTAGTGCGTCGCGTCTCTCCACCGTCCTCATGATCTCCGCCAGCATCACCTGTTCCTGCTGAAGCTCGGAGGCACTTTTCTTTGTGTCTGGGGCGAGGCGGAAGAGAAGGAGTTCAGGTTCCCGTTTTAAGTTTGGGCGTGTGTTACGTGATGCCAGCCTTACCTTCTGTTGCCATCCTTTGTCGTAGATCTTGCTGCAGACGGCTCTGTGTGTCCTCAAGTTCGAGCTCTTGGGCACTAAGGAAGGCGATAAATATTGGATGAGCCCTAGTGATGAGACGTATGAACTGCAGCAACATTTAACTAGAAGCACAGAGTCTGATTGTGCGGCCTTGGTGTTTCATGAGAACCGCTTGTCCGATCGTCTTCATAATTGGCCGGTGTATTATTGTGGACCCATGGGAAAAATTAAAGAAAAATACAATGTGACACTGCAGTTTACTTAACCAAACCCTTCTTTAAACACTCGGTAATATAAATCTGCATTATATTAACATATCTAAATAGCATCATAAATCTATAGCTGTTTGGGGTCACTGTTTTTTTCACTAGTATTTCTTATTTAGAATACTCGGGCTAGCGGCCATCAAGAAAGCTGCGGCGCAACACAGGATTTTTTTTTCAAGGAGTTTTATCTTCCTTTAGAAGTCATTGATCCAGGTGTGAGACGGCGACGTTGCTTACAAGATCATGAGCTCAGACTCGTAGCGCGCCAATCTGTTCTTCTCCAAGACGAGTCGAAACCAGGACTGATAGAGCTGGGCCTCGTCGCTGTCTTCAGTCTGAGGCGATTCTGGCAGGGGGAAAAAGAGGCGGGAAGAGTGTAGCAGGGTTGGAAGTACAGCGGCTTCAATTACATAAAGACATTACGAGAAAAGAAATCACACACACACACACACACACACACACACACACACACACACACACACACACACACACACACACACACACACACACCTCTGCTTTGCGTCAAAGTGACAGGACCATGAAGTCCTCTTTCTCTTGAGACTACAGCCATTAACTGTTAGTGCAGCTTACAACGCTTTTTTGTTCTGAATGTTTGAGAAGCGGCACAGCGGCTTAAATAGAAGAAAAGAAGAATGAATTTCACTTTCACATGGAGCCGTGTCTTGTTCAGTACCTGTTTCTCCTCTGATGATCTTCTCGATGGTCACCCCTCTCTCCTCCAGGTCTCTCTGTTTCTCTGCAACCTCCTCCAGTTGTCTCTGGATGGCCTGGGGAAAGAAAAACAAAATCAAAAAGGACATTACGTGACATACATGATCAAGTGTTTCTTGGTCAAATTGATTTATTTTTTAACAAAAAAAAAAATGTACGTTAGATTTCATGCACACGGACGGACGCGGGATTCGTGTGAATACTGAACACAATCTCTAATTTGTGTCCTGCACTCGATAAACTTAATTACACTTAAATGACATCAGTATCTGATTTAATGCTGTGAATACAAAATTAAACAACATAAGTGGTGTTTTTTGTCCGTGTGTGATACAATAAAAAGGCCCAATTGGCTAGCTAAAGTCTAAGATACTATATCCATGACATGTTTCTTTTCTTGTAAAAGAAAGTACCATTCCATTTCTAACGAGCGAATCTCAAAAGACCGGAGAGAGCCATACCTGAGCCCTGTGGAGCCTCTTCAGCTGTTCTGCTTTAGCCTGCTGGGACACCATCCTCTCCTGCCTCCTCCTCTGTCTCTCTGGACACGGCTGAATCCGGAAGCACAAGGAACGTTCAGAAAACTGAGGAGCAAATACAACGCGACTCCCCGGCTGCACGGACACGGTCTCTACCAACCTTCTGATTGGATGTCTGGTATTCGTCTTCGTCGTCACTAGAAGTGGCATCTTCAAGATTCTGCTGTCTGGAGGCTGGATATAAACAAAAATAAAAAAGTGAGAATAGGTAAGATTCAGTTTGTTAAAAAAAAACACAAAAGTTTCCATGTATAACTTTTATTATATCCACCAACAGGCTCAGACTATACAAGTGTACGACTCAGACTTGATATAAGAAGTGGAAGTAGTCGTGAAGACGCCACCCTTTGGTTTGTGGGCTGCAGTTTTGAAGCCTCACTTCCTGTCCGTCGCCATCTTGGAAAACGAAACGTCTGCATGCTCTTTATATATTTTTGCAACCAATGAACAGAAGTGACTATATTTGTAATTCAGAGGACCGATGTAGAGACGCTGTATACGGCTCTGGAAGCGGAAGCGACCTGTTGTCTAGACTTTTATACAATCAGACACCCCCTGATGGTCAGTAGAGAAACATGCACATTTTAAGGCTTCCCCCTCAATACTGGATAATAAATTGTGGTTCCCTTTCCCCGCTCACCAGAAACATGACTCCAAAAACAATGTTGTGCTAGCTACACTGCCCGTGCAGTGACCAAAAAAATAAATAAATACAACATCTCTTGTTTAAAAGATCATGTGCAACGACGGTTGGGAAATAGCTGGGCTAACCTTTGTTTCGGAGGTTGGCAAGTATCGTCCTGATCTCCTTCTGCGCCTCGTGGTCCGGCCCCTCCCCCTCTGACTCTTCCCTCTTCCTCAGCCTCAGGGACGAGAACAGGTTGACCCGCCTGGCGGGCAGCGATGCCATGTCGTCAGAGAACATCCCTCCGAAGTTTCTGCGGCCCTTCAAGGACACCTGCTGCAACAGCGAGGGCAGGTCCTGCTCAGACCCCCATGGATTGGCCCGTATAGACCCCCCGGGGGCTTTGCACTTGCTGATCCTCTTCTCATCTCTGTGTGGCTCCGGGCCCGCGGCACTGGAGAGCGAGCTAAAGCTCAGCGCTCCCTCTGACACAGGCCTCGGTTTGTGGGGGGCGTCCCGTTTGACCCTCCTGGTAACCCCAAAATAAAAAAGGTACCTACAATTAGCATTGCATTTAGAAATGTTGATGGAAGAACAAGTTGGCCATTCCAATGCTCTATTTTTATATTTAAGGCTTTGATCATCCTATAGGTCACAACAGGTCATATTCAAAAGTGAAGTCAATCATCACGTCATCACACATGAATGAAATAATCTCAGCTTTCTAGTCATACCCAATAATGCAATTGGAAGAATGTTTAGAAACATGCAGAAATATTGGTTCCCAATACATTTCATTGACATTCTTGAGCGGAGAGGTGAAGGGACTGGCGGTCACTCCAGTTTTCTCCCGTACCAAGCTAGCATGACATCCTTAGTACCAATGGTTGCATTACCTAAAGCTAACTTTTTGAAAATATCAACACACTACCACTCAACTCACAATAGGACTAACAAATTAGGAAAAGAGCAAGTTTTACTACAACCTTCCGCTTATATTATCTTGAGTGATTAACCAGCCATTTCCAAGATACAAGAGTCTGCTAAATCCTGCATAGATTTCATGCAGATTATTGAAAACATATACATTAAATACTGGGGTCAGGATAACTTAAATCCCTTCCCCTCCTGTGGGAAGCACGGCCTTAGGCTATCGGCTTTTTATGCGTACCAGTAGCTCCACGCTAGCTTTAAAACCCTGACAAGGTCACCAGAGAGTTTGAAAGTTTAATGCGCTGCTTGAAAATAAATAGTGAGCAGACTGTTGTGTACTGACATTGGGACCGCATGGTTAGACCTGCCGGAGGTGTTGGTCACACTAAATGTCCTCTTGAAGGCGTTTGCTATGCGCCCGAGGGCTGAGGGGGACGTCTGGCTCGAGGTCGGTTCCACAATCTGGCTTGAGTCCGTCTGAGGCTTATCTGCTGCTGCCTCTGCTTGTACCTGATAAAAAAAAAAAAAAACATCAGAGGCTTATTCTTTTAGTAGAACCACCATCACTTGCTAAACGACTCCAGAATGCCACCTGAGTTTGTTGTTGATATGCGTCTTGGGGGTTAATTGGAGCTTCTTCCGGTATGACCGGCGTTTCCCAGTTTAAGAGCTTCTCTTTCTCAGAGAGGGAGAGAATCAATCGCTTCTTTGGGGTGGACGAGTTGGACGGCATCTTCGCCGGGTGCTCTTCGCTCGTCCCACTTCCCTCCGAGGGATTCTGGGTATCTGCGGATGTCACTGAACTACTGTCGGAGTTCTGAGATAACATATATCTTGTCAGTGCACAGATAGGTAATCTGACCGGAACCGTGCACATTTTTCAAAAGCTAAAAGAAGGTACTTACAGATGGTTTATCTGCTGAAGGGACCTCCTCAAAGTCTGAGTTTGCTTCCAGGGTGGTCTCCGGCCCCTCTTTGTCCGGAGGGAGGGTTCTTTGGAAGTGCTTGATGAAGATCAGAGGGAATGCTGCTCGAGGGAAAAAACAAAACAAAACACGCTTGTTATTTTGAGACGGTGGCAGCCACGTCGCTGTCGCCCCATACCAAAGTTTGAACTACTTCATTGCACATTGCTTTCAACAAACAAATCAGAAATGCCACACACATTCCATGTGAGATATTTCGGTGTCAGTTAGCCAGGTGTCAAATAATAACAATGAATGACTCCAGTTAGCTGCTCCAGCTTTAAGGTCTGTTGTATTGCCCGTGCTTTGGTGCACTGTCGCGTCTCATCAGGACCACTGTGCTTGTCTTACGACAACAAGTCATAGGTCTGTTGATTGAAGCATTGACCTTACAGCGATGACGTTGTTGTACTGTGACAAAACAAGTGATCGGAAAGAGCTGCAACATTCTGGGATGAGAAAAATGAGGATATCAAGCCAATGATGTTCAAGTCAAAATAAGCTGCTGCAAGGACCTCTAGTGTTGTACATGCAGCATTACAATTGTGTTCACATACTACAGCATGATGAACAAAATTAAATAAGATTTATTGCCAAACACCAAATGACAGAATAGCAACGGACCGAGCCTCAGTTCTCATCAAACCTCCACAAACAACCAGTAGGGTAGAATTAAAGAAAAAGCACAGACGCATAACATTTGCATGCACTCACTTGCTCTGATTTTCCGTCTCCAGCGATGATTCTGTTTGAGGTTACAATGGTCTACAGAAGTAAAAAAAAAAAGAAAGAAATAAACAGCAGTGTCCTACATTTTAAAAGAATATAACAATGTCAGCTTTATATAAATACAATAAGTATCACTCAGGATCATCTTCTCCATTAGCACCATAAGAACACGTCTGATGAGTGGCAACCAAGAAAAATACATCAATTTGAGACAGAAACTAAACAGCCATAATAAAAAGATTATTTATTTCTATCGTAAATGTTTAATCTCACAATCTTAAAGTTCAGCCACTTTAAGAATAAGCTCCACACTGCGGCGTGTATCTGGGGACCCGGTTATTAACACCTCATACAGTAACAGTGCGGACCTGTGGTACAGTCCTGGCTGTGGCCCTTGGCCCCTGCGAGGTCCTGTGTTGTGGGCGTCACTATGGGGGCCTCCAGCGCTTCCACAACCATCTCCGTGTCTCCGGGATCTTCTAGCTGACCTTTGCCGAGCCGCTCCGTATGCAAGCTGGAGGTTGCGCCTGCCGGTAAAAGAACCACAGCGTTAATTGCAGTGTGGTTGAATAAACGCTAAAAATTAAAATTAAAAAACACACACAAAAGTCATGGTGAACGTTTACTCTAACCGTCTGGTTAGCTGATACCGAAGTGCTTGACAAATAGATGAGCTGTTTTGGGATCTTTTGGAATCATGTTTAAGTGATTTGGGATTTGGGTATTAATCTGAGTACTGGGTATAATGGAAGCTGTGCGCCTCACTGTGAAGAAGTGACGGGATCATTCAACCGCTTGAGAGGCTTCATTTTCCAAACTTGAAAACTTAAATCCCAATCAAACTAGGCAAAACTGGCTATTGTCTATTAGGGAAAACAACCATAACATTCCCCCAACTGCTGTATCTCTTTCACATCTTTTTTTGATAACCAACAAGATCTTCCTTAAACAAACAAGTACATTTATAATATATATATATATATATATATATATATATATATAAAAAAAAACATAATGTCTTTCTATGCAATAAAAATAATTCATACACATGCTGTAGAAAAAGCACCCCCTCACACACACTGTAAAAACATCCACATTCCAGCAGCATGAGCGCTGACAAACTGCATGATGTGTTCATAACGGTACTCACGGAGTCAACAGTGAACCCAATCTTTTCCACAGAGTATTCCATTTGGTCACAGCAAAGAAATGGAAAGGCCACTCTACAGCAGTGGTGTTCAAAGAGTGCCTGTCCACTATTGGGTTTAGGCTAATTGTTGGAATGGCACTTTCACCAGGTGATGCACGGATACCAAAACCCCAAGAGTGAAGGATAGAGCAGACCCCACGAGGAGAGCTGATAGGCTGATTCACTTCCATCTGTTCAGGTTGGATGGAGTGGAGTATGCTTTAAATGTAACCCTTGATTGTGGCCACCCTTTTTTCACCCTCAAGTTGCTTTGAATGTACTTTTATGATGGCAGCAGATGTAAGGACCTTGAAACCTATAGCCGACGTTAGCAGAAGCTGTGATGGGATCTACGGTGGTGACGTTACAGCGGTTAAAAGAAGGCGTGGGAAAAGGGGATTTGCTTGTTGAAGTTGTTAATTTTATGAATAAAACTAAAAGTTGATCGATGACTAAAAGTTGCTTTCATACCGAACAAATTACAAACAAAGTCTTTGCACATACCCAACGACACTGTAGCAAAGTGAATTTGCAGTTTGCAGCGAAGTCGCGCAAATTTGCATCAAACGGCGCAATAGCCTATTGCTGTTGAGATGCTCCCCCTGTCATCACTAAAAATGGAGGATAAATTAATAGTAACGTTCTCTGTGTGTGGGTACCCCGAGCCGTACGATACATCCTCATACCTATACCGCGACCGGGAAAGACCTTGCATTTTTAACAAACGGGATACAACTATTTTACAACATCCCATCACTGCACTGTTATATACTACGTTGTAGTGTGGGATAATTGTATTGTTGCAGGGCGTTTGATAAATTGCTCTTTGTTTCTTGTTTTTCTGGGTTTGTATCCTTATGGTTGAAACGCACTTATCGAAAGAATGCTTTGGATAAAAGCGTCAGCTAAATGACATTAATGACATTGTGTGTGGGGGGCTAAAGGAGCCGTCTGGGTGTGCTTGAGCACACCGTATTTTGACATGGTGTTTTGACATGATGACGCAGTTCCTGTAAGTCAGTGAAATTCTCAGAGCCGTCTGCGCCTACGGATGCTATTTAGTACTCAAACACATCGGCGGTGGTCCGACGAGTAGGACTTCTACAAGGGTACATATATGCGTTGTCTTCTATGGTCGACGCGGAGAAAATACTATGGCAGAAATTTGAACAGTTTTCAGGGTGATAAGCCACGCCCCCTCTCCGTTGGGTCACGCAAAAATGACGCGATTCATGCGAATCAACCAAAGACCGCAGCGCGTTTAGTGTAAACGCATCTTCAGTCAAACTTCTTCAAAGTTGTTATTACTAAGCAATTGGTAATAAACCACGAAGAAAATTATTTATGTAATCAAAATGGATTTATTTCTGAATATATATTTACAGCTTATAAATATAAATTAAGCAATTTTACAGTAATTATCTATGTCCAAAATAAATAAAGCTTGCAGGCTGCTTCAAGACTCATCAGGAACACAACTACGCAAACGTAGAGCCAGGCGAGCAAAAAAAAAGCTGCTACGGTGGGGCTGATGATGTCCTGAGAAAAGTCTAGGAGGTGCAGGAAAGTGACCTGGAAAGGGGCTCTGAGTGGGGGAGGCCTCCTTCTGAAACAGAAGGAACCACAGACAGACCAAAGACAACGTGGACACGTTTGTTACTGCCAAAATTGCGAGTTAAGAGAAGTGGGTGCCGGTGCTGATGAAACATCGGAGAAATCAGAACCAAAAAAGAAATTGAGGCGCATTCAGACGGGTGGTTTGGTGTTAGGGAAGCACAACACGTGTGTTAGTGGGGTTTGGTCGGGCGATGAAACACCAAACGGAACGGGCAAACGACCAACTGAAAAAGGTGCTACGTGGGCATCGAGTCAACTGGTGCTAATCTTTCATTCGCAACGTCAGCATTCTAACGCGTTTATGTTGTGATCACATCATGGTTATCACTTGCTAATTAGCCCCTCAAAGTGGAAACTATTCTGATAGGAATGTCAACCAGTATTACGGCATAAAGAAAATTCATTGGACGAACTAGAATCATGGTGCAGTAAAAGTAAAAAACAAGTGTCTTTGGAATAATCCTCTGGGGACCACAGATAAGTCTACAAACATTCACTGCAATCCCTTCAACAGTTGATGAGACGTTACTCTGAAAAGTGAAAACGTCAACGTCATTGTGTCGCATGTCAGCAGATAACATTACATTACAGGTCATTTAGCTGACGCTTTTATCCAAAGCGACTGTCATTGCATTTTTAACCCATGGCTTTTTACATTTTAGCCCAGGGAGCAATTAGAGGTTAGGTGTCTTGCCCAGGGACACTTCGACATGGGACATGGAGCAGCCGGGGCTCGAACCGCCAACCTTGGTGGTTTACTACTCTATTCGCCACCATCGACCCCCATAACATAAGTGATAAAGCTTCATCCTTTGGGAACCATGAATGCCTGAGCAATATCTTGTACCAATCCAGTAGATGTTAGAGATATTTCACTGAAAAGTCTGACCTCTGGGTAGAGCAACATAGTAAATAGAGGCTCAACGAAATTTAGTTGGGCTCCATCCTGTAGGGAACCTGAATGTCTGAAACTGTCTTAAATCTATCCAATCGTTATGTCAGGGTGATGGAGAGATGACATTGTAAACACATTTATATCTTATGGAACAGGAGGAGTTGCAATTTCCTGAATGTAATTTGGCCACGGTGTAATAATTCATTTGGAATACTATTTAACATATGCCGATGCCACACGGAACACCTTTACTGACACCTGCATGCCATACTCTACATGATGGTTTGTGATTGGTTAATCTAGATTATGTGAAAGGGGGCAGAGCTACAGGGTCAGACAATGCAAAATCAACACGACAAGATCTCATGACCAAAGCTGGCCAATCATCACCTTCCCCCACGCAGAATCAGCCAATCACAGGGTGCAGCATTGGAAACTTGAAAAAGACTTAACAAAATTAAGTGAACTAAGCAGATGAAGAGGAAGGAATTTGGATAAAGAAAATTAGTGGGATATGGGGCGGAAATGAAAATGGAGGACAGGGCATGAAATGGACCACTGAGTGCTAAGAATTATTAGGATAAACTATAGGAAAGACATTCAAATGTGAGAACTGACAAAAGCAAGGTCAGTACCTCACCAGTGCATTTAAAATTCACCCTTAATTCATCATATATACAATATATAAATAACAATTATTAAAAAAATTTGATAAAAAGTGCAAAACAACAAAACAAAATATATATTTTTCCCCATAGCAAATATATTCACTACTGAGGAGAAAAGAAAAAGAAAACAGCTGATTGTTTTTGGCTGGTAATACATTTTACTGAGATATTGCCCAGATCTACACCAAAAAGATAGTTGTCTAACTGACCTTCAAATTAATTTTAAAACCCAATACAAACAACTTTTTACGCTTAGTTAATTTTTTTTATGATTCGATTTTCGTATTATGCTGTAATTTCCACAATATTTAATTAATTATTCTAAATAATCTGCCAGATTTCCTATTAGATGAGAACAACGTAAACAATGAGTCCTAAATATTACAAGGAAAACCAGTCATATACTGTAACTTTAACAAAATATATAGTAATGTGAAATACTACCTACCACAAAAACTAAACAATTTCCATTGCACATCCCTGTGGTGCAATGTAAAGGCACGGGGGGCCGAGGCATAATGATAGCTCACTGAAACCAAACACCACTGTCCTGATGGCTCAGAGGTTAGATTCAGAGGGCTTGTTCCAGGTTACTCCAAATAAATGTCTTCTGACACATCAAAGATCAATCTGAGGTGCAGATGGGAAAGGTTTCACATTTTGTGAAAATCCAATTGATTGGTTGGTTCCCCCCACTCCCTTGCCAACTTACTGTGTCTGATAAGTATCCCCATAAGCAGCCTGGAACAAGCCTGCGTCAGGTGGAGATGCATTTGGCAGTGGTACAGCACCAGGAGACCCTAAGAGTCAGTTGACTAAAGACTCACCTCATCGAAGTCGATGCAGCATGTACGATTTAAACAGACAATGTAGCCGGAGGACCCACATGACAGGCTTTTCCTTGTGCTGTCCACTGTAACTGCAGCCAAATACACCAGGCACTGAATCCAAGCAATAGTTACTAATCGATCAAAGCACTTTCATAGCAAAGTTATTTAATAAAAACAGAAATGACCAAGGACACTTGGAAGGTGGTAAATACAGATAGTATTTGGTGTTATAATTGTAACATTAATGAACTCTATTCAGCCATTTTGGAGAAGCACAAGAGCACGAATTGAAATCCGGGGGTTTCAGCCAGGTCGACGGGCCCTGTCAGTTGGTGGCCGACGAGCTGCTAGGGCTCCTGGGACATCTGTAACAGCACCTCATGCATCATGCAGAGCAGAGGGCCGCCGAGGCTCAGCAGCTCGTACAGGAACACGTAGTCGTGTGAGCGGCTCCTGACGTGAGGTCTCGCGGTTGCGAGACAATCGCGCACGCCTCTCGCCAGCCGTTGAGGCAACACACACAAGGCCCGGCTGGCACGCCGTGGCCAACTCAGGCCTCGCCTAAGCAAGGAAACCAGGGTACCTGGGGTTTGGAGCTGGAGGCCTCCCGTCGTCGAGAAGCCCCCGCCGTCCAACGACGAGTTGTTGGCGCGCTGTTGGTCTTCCTGAGATTCACAGGAAGAAAATGGTGAACAAACACAGTGTTTCACATCAAAAGGAAAAACAGTACTGCAATTTCTATATAATGAATTACCTCTTGGGGGAGTACCTTAGAGAGTAATTATGGATTTCTTTAACCTGGATACAACTTTCCCATGTTTTTAGGCCCCAATGAGGACAATTTTATAAAAAGGGAGAGTGCCGCATTCAAAGAAGATGCTGCAATGTAACCCTTTAGTGCAATTGTTGCAATTGTGTTATGGACTCATCACACCTTTCTGCAATTATTTGGTGACGACTCTGCAACAGAGTGGCAGCACGCCTGCTAAGTATGTAACAGTTGACTGGCAGCACAGAACTAACGGAGTGGCGTTCTTGGATGCAAACGGTTTGGTGGGATGCAAACACATTAAAAGCTCTATTTAGCTTATTGTCAGTGACATCAGCAGTGTTCCTTACCATTCTCCTTCTGAACCCCCCCATGTGAGTGCCGGAATGGCGCTGGGCATAATGCATCTTGCAGTAGAACTTTGCTGAAAAGTAAGCGCAGAGAAAATCAAATCGCTTTTATACACATGGCGATGAATGCGTTAAAATGAGTGCAATAAAACAAAAAAAATCTCGTAAAGAGGCCCAAGTAGGACAATAAGTTGAGTTTATAGTTTATGATTGGGCGAACAACATCTACACGTCCTACTCACCCTCCAACGAGTCGAAGGTGTGACCTCCCAGGCGGAGGGTACTGTTGCAGACGTCACAGCGGAAGCACTCGCGGTGGAAGAAGTAGCCGTCGGCGCTCAGCCTCTCCATCACGTACACCCGTTTGCTGCAGAAGTGGCAGACATCGCTGCCGCCGAGCCCGGGAGGGAAGTCCTTCCGCACCACACACTGAAAGGGGGAGGAAGACCGGGATGAGGTTGGAGGGATGTTTTAGAAAAGAAATAGAATTTCGGTGATTTCTGCAATAAAAATATAAATAAATGAGGCACATGGTCCAGCGGGGACTTTGTATACTAAAAAAAGAGGTTGATCCCATCAGTGTGTATTGGACCTATTGGCCATGAAAATCAGTGAGGAATCCTTTCAAAACTCAAACGGGGGTGTTGCCAACTTGAATCAAGACATCATACCAGCTGGCCGCAAATAGTGGCAGTTAGGATTATCCGGTGTTTATTGGCATCCGAGTGATTACTATTGCATTTTTTTTGAAAGTGGAAACAAAACACACACACACACACACACACACACACACACACACAAAAGTATATAAAGCATATGTTAAAGTATTGGCTTGCAAAAAAACATGGCTTCGGGCATATTGCAAGATGGCAAAACTACATCCACTTCTTGTTTGCGGTCAGTGGTGTTGGTAAGTCGATTTGCCCTGAAACAATTATCGGCTGATTCACGGACGTCTTTTCTCAAGGGTAAGTCTCAATGGGAGAAAGTATCGGCCCTAAGCAATCATCTGGCGGACCCAAAAATTAGGACTATGAAAATTGGTTTTGAAGCCCGGCTTTCCACCATGAGGTTTCCCAGGATTCACATCTTTATGCTAAGATGAGCATTTGCTGGCCATTGCTTCTTATGTACCGTACACAGGGGAGCTGTATTGTTCTTCTCATCAAACTCTCGGCAAGAAAGCAAATAAATGTAGTCTCAAAATATCATAATATAAATATCACATTAACAGCATCCACACAAGCGTAAACCTATCCTTACCAAAGATTGAGACAGATAGTCTCAAGTTCAAATCATGTGACTTGAAACCACGGCGTTAGGTCATGTTAGCATCAAACTGTTCTAACCTCTTCTAGCTACACTGTAGCCCAGAAGCTCAACAAAACAGTGATTAAAATATATTTCCAGTTAGCTATAGTTCCATGCAGAAGTAAATACAATGGCAACATGCTTTTCAGTCAGTCCACTGAGGAATTTTTGTAAACAGAGTTGCTGTTTTGCCCTCATGAAAGCAAAACAGAACCAATTAGCTCTTTCAGCTTTAGGAGCCCCCCAGGGTACTGGGTAGATGAAGGGGGAGATTTTCTGCTGCCTTCTTTTTTTAAAAACTTAAAAAAAGGAAACTTACATTTATAGAAAGAAAGAAAATAAAAATGAACTAACTGCATTTGAATCTCAGTCCGTCATCTTCCTAGTGACTGGTTGAACATCTAAACTGTACTTGAAAGGAGTTAGATGAGTCTCTGCAACATCACCATGCATCTTACCGGCGTGGCACTGGGCCTGTGGTCCGTCTCATACAGGACGGCCAATTTCTGAGCTTTAGCGTCTATGGCGGATGAAACCTTTCCGATCGTACGCTAATATTTATGCCCGGGAACCAGGGACCAGGGGGATGGAACGGTGGGAGGGTAGGGGCAGGAATAGGAAACCACAGAAAGCAGTTAAAAAGAAGACAGAAAAATGCAGAATTATACTTTGAATTTCTTGAAGTGCAGACTGCGGCATCGACTGGTACCTCCTTCACGTAACTGGCAGCTCCGGTGGAACAAGTCTCAGAGCGAACAATCGACTTCTGAGGGATTCTTCGTGGGTTCTCAAGAGCGCAGCTCACATTGCACTGAATGAAAACCCCAGAACGAAGTTCAGTTCAAACTTATTGCATCGTTTTTTTTGCAGGTTTGTAGCCATACCCACTAAAAGCCATGCACTACAATTTGTATACAACCTGTGCCATTTATTTGTTTTTAATCCACGGAATTGTGAGACGGGACAGGTGGCCAAGTACAAAAAGCAACATAGCCTGCATGGGGAGGACGTCCCAGAAAACACTAGAATTTCACCCGGGAGAAGTTTCCGGTGTCAAACCAGAAGTTAACTTACGAAATGTGTGGTTATTTTAACTCACATGTTGAGTTACTTGTTACTTGTCACGGAACAATCTTCCGTAGCTTCGTAAATTCTGTTTAATTATTGTGTATTTTCCGTTTATAAATAAAGTGACCTTTTCAACCTAAACATTAACTTATTTTTTATGCAACATTTGTACCTCAACGCCACTTCAGTTATTCGTTGTTACTTTCTACTTAATTCCACCCAAAGGTTGACTTGCATATCACGTAACTTCAGTACTTGCAACTTTTGTAAGTATTTTAACACATCTGATTAATTAGTCACATGACTTCCTTGCATCGCCACTACCATAGTTAGTGTAGCCTTTAGTTGTTATGAGTAGAGTCCTATGCAGGGTTATTTCAACCTAAATGTTGACTTAAGTGTTCAGCAACTTCCATACTTTAAAAACAGAGTAAAACACTTTCCCTAGAGATCAGCAGGTTTCACTGGAAGAGACGATTAGGTCTTTTACCTTCATGTGTTTGTTTACTGCCATTTTCTCAAATGCGTCGCGAGCGGTTTTGTGGACCTCCTGCTTACTTTCCAGATTATTCGGAGAACTCTCCTGAATCACATCATAGCTTTCCTTGTGTGGTACAGAAACTGCATGGGGAGATGACCTGATGTGCTCATTTTCACAGTTAGTATCAGAGATGTTCGGGCTCTCGCCAAAGCAAGTAGAGGAAAAGGCTGCACATGTTTTGTTGTTGGACGAGACATGTTTTGTTGTTGGAGAGCTAGCCATGGCGACGTAAGACAAGCGCTTAGAGGAGTCTTTCTGTATGCTGTCCTTGTGTCCAGGAGTGCACCAGGGCACAGATGAGAAGCCGGCCTGGGCAGTGGGGTCAGGGACAGGGTGGACTACGGGGTGGACAATGGAGCTATTCGATACAGAGGCAGGAGAAGTGGTGGAGGACTGATGGGGGAGGATAATCGTTCATGTGAATTGTCGAACAAATGTGATGAAATCACACACACACACAAGTCAGCCAGCTGCAGTGTGCCAATTCCATCAATTCATTTTTTCGATGGTGTCAACTAAGTGTCATCATCCAGAACTTTTAGTAGAAGTTTAATATGCTATCCTAAGGATCACACAATGTGATCATTTTTGTAAGAAAACTGCTACAATGAATCAAAGTGTCAGTGCCAGCAGAGGAAACGTTCAACATGGAACCATCATGCATCGCGTCAAGACGCACCCTGTTATTAACAACAAGCAGCAATTTTTGAGGGGCGGCGCGACAATACGCAACCTGGGATTCAGAGTGAGCAGCAGGAGGCGGTCTGCTGGACCCAGGGAACATGGAGGAGAGAAGGGCCGCCCGCTCTTTGATAGTCCGGCCAGAGTGTTTGCTCTGCAGGCAGCAGGCGGCGAAATAAGGTAAGGCAGGAAGAGAAAATGAGCGGTCACTTTTATTAGAAGGGTTGACGCATGCTGTACAGAACTGGCTCGACAGTCACCTGCTGCGTCGACCTCTCAGACGAATGGCCCGCCGCCTGGTCGGGAGAGGTGCGCTCTGGGTAGTGGCGTTCAGGGACGTTCGGGCTCGGTGCGCGCAAGGGACTGAGTGGATTCGTAGGCTGCGAGGGGGAGGGAGGGAGACTCGGAGGGCGAGGGGATTTGGGGCAGCAGTGGAAAGTGCTTTGCTTAACCACGGCACTAGGATTGTCTAGCAGGCGGAGGTAGACCGAGGGCTGGAGACAGGGAGGAGACACAAGCAACGCGGGATTATAGTTCAAAGGCATCTGAAACATATTCATATGGTGCTTAAGGATCCTTTAAAAAAATGTTGAAGGAAAGGTTTTCTCGGGTGGAGGCATACCTGCCACTTCGGGCGAGGGAGAGGCCGAGGAGGAGGAGGGGGGGGGGCCTTTGGCTTTGCGAAACGGGGGTTTTCCCTCTCCTCCTCACCGTCTTCCTCATCCTTTGAGAGAGGATGTGGTGTGGTTGTAGGAAAGGAGGAGGGATCGGATGGGTCCTAGAGAGGACAGGAAGGAAGGAAAGGGAATGCAAGGAAAGGAGAAAAGGTATTGACCAAAGTTGTCATAAGAATAGCAGTGGATAGAGTGGCAGTGACCAGGATTTCAATGCTGCATTTAATGCTGAAGGCCCCTGAGCTTCACATACTAACACCATGGCATGAGGCCCCTTTTCACACGTCCGGAGTTGGTCTGCCATTACTATCATTTTGTAGATCATCAAATATTTCATCATGAGTAAGCAATAGCGACACTCCCCTCAGGCAGTGCACTTTTAGTACAGCTCTATTATCTACTCTCTATTGGAGTGTGGAAGCAAATAATTAGCCATACTGGATTGAAAATCATAAGAAAGGCAATGTCTAAGTGTTCTACTTAACCACTACTGAATAGGCAATGCTGATTTAAATGCACTGAACTAATATTTATTTTAATAATTTCTTAATGTACAGTGGTCTGAAATGTATTCTTAGAAGACAATACTTCACTTAGACATTAAAGTACAATTCCAGATGAGCCAGTTTGAAACTACTGTTGAAAACTAGGCATGCTACATTAGAATCAATCAGATCTCTGCTGTATCTATTATGGCCTGTCAGTCATATAAGGCAAGCTACTAATATGTAGAAGATTAACAACAGGTATAGCCTTTGTGCAGTTCAGCAGTTTCCTGTACCATCATCAGATAGAATACCTAAAATACGAGGCAAAGCAATTTAGTCCAAACTGACCAAATAAAAAAAAAAAAGAAAGAAAAGTTATCTTTGACGTCAAACCATGTAGGGATACAGTCAAAAGTTTGGACACACTTTCTCATTGAAAAAGAAAATGTGTCCTAACCTTGGACTGGTATTTGAATTTAAATTAAAGACATACAGTGGATATCAACAGTAAGTACAATCTCATTTTTAGGCCTTTGTTTACTTCCATAATAAAGCCAGTTAGCACGCTCTGGTGAGCGAGAATTTCTCAGCTGGAGCTGAAAAAACGTTCATGTTCATGTAAAGAGGGTCTGACAGCTGAATGGCCGTTCTTAAAAAACAAAACAAGAATGTTTCCCCTGTAGCACGGCCCGCCTCTCACCTTGCTGCGCATCTTGGCAGTCGAGGAGTTCTCCTCAAACTTGGCCAGCAGCTGAGTTGCCATGAAGCGCACCTTGTTCTCCCGCGGCTCCCCATCCTCGCCAGCGGGGGGAGCACTGTGACAAGACAACTGGTGCCCGGGGAGGAGAAGAGTGTGATCAAAGAGAACCACAGAGCAAAGTGGGACTTTTGAACTACAGGAACACGTGGGACGTCCCGTTGAACCTACCTCTGTGAGGTAGTGGTTGCCCTTTCGCCGCCTCTTGCTGACGGAATCGTCTTCTGGCTTGTTGTCTTCCTGTGACAGCAGATGCCACAATAAACTTCAGAGAGAGAGAGTTTTTATCTGGATCACCCTGAAACTAAGATCCCATTTCCAAATATACTTGGGATGTGAGAGGACACAAAGAATCCCTCTCATCCAGTTTATTACAAAGCACACCTATCAATGTGCGCTTATCTAATCTGCATCTCAATAGTTGAAAAGTTCACTGGGGACAACTGAAAAGAAAGAAAGGAGGGCGGGCCTCCATGCTGAACGAGAGCGTCAATTGAACGAGCCGGACGAGGACTGCAAATGTGACGGTAGCCGTCTTTACCCTGGGTGTCCTCTTCTTGGGTTGAGGCGGGTTCAGCAGTCTCTGGTTGGCCTTAGCTGGACATACTTCACTGTTCTCATCTGCTTCTCTGGAACCTGGAACACAAACAAGGAGAGTGAGAGAAACTGAAGCAAGAAACTTCATGGGCTCAAAACGGAGACGGCTCCGCTCCTGGTTCTGGCTCTCCTGGGCCTCCATTCACTCCAGCAGTTCAACATACGAGAGGTGCTGTTGGGAAACGCTCTGCTGGAAAATAATTTTATAGAAACCCATCTTTGAGCAGATGTTTGTTTACTTTTGTGGGTCAATAGATAGAGACTAATAGAGACTTCTGTATTACGTTGAGTATGTTTCAAAGTTTCTCAGATTTACTTGTATTGCTTATATCTAATGAAGCCCTGTGAGATGAAAGGGAAGGTTCCTCGTTGGGTTACTTAACATTTGTGCCCAAGAAAACAAATACAATAAAATAAATTCTAAGACTCTTCTTAACCTATTTCCATCTGGATTCAATTTTTTCAGAAAACAAAACAACGGTCGCCTTCATCATACTCGCACATCAACCCAATTCAACATCAGGCCACAATGAAAAACATTATTAACCAATTTATTAATGAACCAAAACCCACTGGAGTCGCTTTGCACAACAACTCACACCATCAAACGCACATTGTGGCAAAATGGGACACAGTGATGACATCAGCTGACCTGATACGGCCAAACCATGTCTGCAAGTAAGTTTCCACTAGACGGACTGTGCAACTGGCTCACGGTGTGCATGTTAAAGCACAACAAGGTGAAACATGGCTGACGCCATCGAGACCAGCTGAGGGCCTCCAGAGTCACGCACAGCAACTGGATATGGTTTCCTCAGACATAGCGCGCATACCAGTCACGGCTCTCGAGGGGGGGCAGACCTGACCATGGTTGTGTAACGTGCAAAGAAACAGAGATCCTGTTCGGACAGCAAGGGTTGCATATTTTGCAAACTAGTCATTTCTTTTATCAAACTGTGGTAATGTTCAAGGAAATACCTTGATTTTAGGTAAATTTAGTCTGCTAGGTAAAATAACAATCTAATCTGTTTAACATAGGACATAAAATGCCCCATGTTTTTTTGACCCATTCAAAATTTCCAACCACACTGCATGGTCAGCCTTTTCTAATAAGTCAGAAAGGACTTAAAGCCGCTGAATAGATCAACATAGTCTCTGGTTAGCATTCACTACATTTAGCTACTGAGAAAGGGTTTCATGTCAGAAACCACATTGTCGCTAACTCCACTATGATTATCAAATCTGCCACTTCTACAAAAAAGCTTTGGACTTTACAATGTAATTTACACTATTGTTTAACTCCTCATGTAATCCCTATTATGATAAAGGGACAGTTCACCAAAAAAATTAATATAGCAAAAAAATAATGGTTAACACCTCCAAAACTCTGCAACTCAGCCTGAAACAATCTACATTGACAAATCGTGTGAAAAGTGAGATAAAAAGCACTTGCTTTTTTATTTGGGATGAACTGGCCCTTTAAGAACTCTGCAGCAGCCAACATGGTGAATTGTTGGGCACTGTTTTGATCGTCTGTGACAGAAGTAGGGAGGAGCCTTACCATTTTCGTTGATGTTTCCTGGGGAGTTCCTGAAGGCCTCGTAGAATTTGGAAAGGTAGAGAACCATCAGCAGCTTGTCCGGCTCGGCCACCGCAGCCATCTCCTTCCCCCTCGTCATCGGCTGAATGCCAAACTCCCGCTCTGCCAGGTCAAACGCCAGCTGGTTGTTGGCCGCCACGTCCTCCTCGTTCAGAGAGTCATAGTCGCTGAGGAAGAACCAGAGCAGATGGAGGTTAGCAGCCGTGGAACATCATCTTTGTTCCCAGTGCAGAAGGAAATGCTGCATCTGATATTAAAGATCTATTTTTTTCATCAGTTCACCACTGGGTTGATGTAGAGTTAAAGACAAACAAAGACTAGTAGAATTAAAGAGTTATTTGCTGCCTTGCTGCCACCACACATCTACTTCCTGATGCGACAATAAGAAGACTACATACATGAGGCTTTGATGGCTTAGAGCAGAAAACATTTACAACTTGTCATGTGTTTTATGTTTTATAATAACCAAGTCAAAAACATGAAAAAGGTTGCTTGTGGCGATAAAGCAACAGGGAATTATCTCCTGAATCTACACAATGCACTGCTGCTTATGGTGCTGGTATTTTTTGACTGAAAATCCTCTTTGTGTGTGCATGTCAGAAAATGCCATCTTCGGGGTTTGGGCGTGGTAAGCAAAGGTTCCACCTAACCCGGCATTTGCCTGTGTTCACTTGTGACTTGCAAAACAGCGCACCGACCACGCATACATCCTGTCTCTACAAGAAGGGATCATACAGTGGGTGTGGAATCACAGCTCCCCGCCTTGACGGAGGATTAACACAACAAGTTCACACGGCCCCTCCTTAAAGAAGTGATGTCACTCCAACCGAATACTCTGATACTTTTAATTGCTTTCTCAGCAGCGAGCCAGCAGACTGGAGAAAGTAGGTCATTGAAATGAAATCCATTGCAAGGATTGAGTGTCAGGTTGAATCACGAACGTCTTAAAAGTGGAGCGTTCTACAGAAACCAAATAAACCATTGTCTATTCGTCAAATGATATCTGAGCAAGGAAAAACTGAAAAGGGGTGTTATAATTCACAAATTACTGCCATGACTGCAGCACCCTTAAGCTGCCAAGATATTTAACATCTAGCTAATAAATAAAAACTTTGATACACTCATGATCAGTTAAGAGTGTCCAATAATGATTTGAAATAAATGTTCTGATTTCTAAAGTCTCCTTTGTAAAAGTGATCTTTATGAGATTTAGTGAATACGTAAAGCTCAACCCTCTGAACCTCGAACAGCCCCAGGGCGCTTTTCTTTTCCTCCCATCACATTTGACTTTCTTTGGACGAATATCTACGCTAAACAGTGTCGATTTGGCAATTGTTTTAACAAAAACAACTACATGCTTTCCTATTCGCCCGGCGGGTTTTGGGAGTTTCACAGGGTCAATAAACTATTAACAGCTGACTGTCTACACACTACTTCAAAAGAGGGATTCATTTTGTCCTCGAGCTGCTCACTTTAAACAATGCCAGTCTGAACAGGTGACGCATCGCAGACCAACACCAGTCAAGACCCGAATAACTTTCAACATTTCCACATGGTCCCTAAGTGGGTGTATTCTTACATCAGCTCGGGCCTCTGGCGGTGGACGAGAGCGCAGAGGGCCAGGCCGTTCCTCCATGAGGATGTGAGGTTGGTGACATCCACCCCTCGGTAGCCCTGAGTCTGCTTCTGACACCAGGTCAGCAGCCGGCTGGGACGCACCTCTGAGTCTGCGCGAGAAATCAACAAATAAAAAAATCCTGTCAACTCAACCAACTCCCTGATGCCTTGAAACTCTGAACCCCAAGCGACCAGTGGGTTTCACTCGGGGGGCCAGGGACTCGAATGGCATTACAAGGCTATAGCATACCGCAACCGTGGCAACGGATTCAGACACCAACAGGCCTACTCATGTAAACATCTGCAGCGTTCTCTTTGAACTGTCTCTTCATCATAACCCAATCTGGGTGGAGGGAACTGTAAGTTAAAGGTGTTTGTGTGCAACATTTAGGTGTTTTATCATTATATTCAGCCCACTCTGACTAATTTAGTTGCAATGGACAAAATATGAGCAACACCTCCAAGTATATTGCGATCCACAGCACCACAAGCCGCAGGCTCCAACATGGCCGTGAAGTTGAATCAGCACAATTTATTTTGAATATGATTAACTTAATTAATAATGAACCTACATAACGATAGGATTAAAGGCATGACTGGTGTAATAGCACACTTTGTTTCTGGCTTAGGGTGATTTTACATACATATTTGGGTTCAATCCTTCCGGAAATAAACAAAATACACGGTTGAATTTTAGTTTTGGTTACGGTGACTTTTTACGAAACAAACAGGAGCCAACGGGAAGTCACACAGACTTGTTAATGGGGGCTAATTCTGGTGACGAAAATAAGCACAAATGTGCAAGGCGTCTTGTTCAGAATGGCTCAGGGCTCATTACTGCTTATTCCGTTTTTGGATGAGTAAATCAGCTGCTGCCTAGCAAACACCTTGGCCATGACATCATAACACAAGGTGATTGTATGTAACGCCTGTCTTTAGAGCTTGTTCTGCTGGGGCGAAGTGGCCTTTAACGCTGCTTTAAGTTGTGACTAAACCCCTTGATACCCTTGAGGGTGAACAGCTCCCAACATGATCCTGCTGGTAGAGAGCAGAGCGGGTCAGCACATGTCAGAGAAAGGCATTGTGTCAGAACCTGTGGGTGTAATGCTATCCAGCCCTAAGGTTTGTGATGGGGAGTGTCAGCCTAAGAGGAGGGCCTGGTAAGCCCTGAGTAAGAATTATTCAGCTTTGATAAAGGTTACGATCCCATCCAAGTAGTTATGTCTTAAGTTATTTGGTGCATCTATTGTCTGTTACCACATGAACACACACACACACACACACACTTAATGCCCCAAACTCCCCCCTCCACACTCGAAATGGGTCGTACCTTCTTTGTTTTGAAACAATTGCAATTTAATATACTATAAACTTTCTTTCTAAAATAAGTATATATTAACTACATTTTCCACTTTTTTTTTTAATAAAATAGCAATAACATGAACTTAAATTCTGTGCAAACAACATTGTTGGGGTCTCAAACAAAAACGAAAAAACAACACAATCTCAGTACTGATTTGGACATCATGCTTAAATGAAATACGAGCTGAAAAAAAAAATGTATAAAAAATTAAGGGCAAGTCTGAAACCTCACAGTTAGGTTGGAAAACCAACGTAACTAACGTTTCAGACCTTCAGATCAGTCCTTTGATGCTACATTTTGGTTAGAATCCAGTTGCAGTTAGTACGTTAGCCACTGTAACTGCCTGATAACTCACTATCTAATATCACAGAGCAATGTCTCTATATCACAGAGATATGGAGACCTGTGTCACTCTTTTTTCTTCCCTATGTCAGCACACCACAACTTCATTTCATTGTTTTAAAATGACTCAATATTTTCCATCCACGGCGACACTGAAAGTGTCGGTGGGACTGACTGCGCTCACCTCTTCTGGACAAGTTCACGGATCTCCGTATGGGGCCTCCTCTCTCCAGGAGACACGAGTCTTGCTGGCCATCAATGAACAGGTGACGCACCTGAAGGAAGGCCGAAATGAAAAAGCATTGAGAAGGAGACACAGAAGAGGAAATATTCATTTCATCAGTCAACTTTTAACAAACTTTTAACAAACACTTGACTTAAAAGTAAAACAGTTGGATTTGCAGTGGAAACAAATCTCCTGGGAAGTTAACAGCTATTGTACTATACATTCCTGAATATACTTAATGCTGACAACTCACTCATCTTCAAAAAAACAAGTACCATCACACACACAATAAAATCATCCTGAGTCAGTCAAACTGAGGCTGAATCATTATAACCCAACATCAACTTTGCTAAAGTGTTGGACTGACCTGATGCGGGCGAACACAGGTGGAGTTTAGGTTGGGGTAGCGCGTGGCAGGGTCAATGGCGTACAGTTCAAAGTTTTTACTGATGTTCTCGGTGGTGGTTTGAGGCAGCAGCCGGTAGATACTCTCCCTGAGGGAAGCAACAGGGCCGATATGAACTTCAAACATTGGAGAACCGCTCATTAAGGGAAAATGTACACGAGCTTGTGCTTTGACACAGACATGTCCAGTATTTGTTACTGCTGCTGCTTCTTCCGCTGCTGCTACGTTTCCAATTGTGGTAACGAGGCTAATCATAGTCATTTGACATGAAATACCCAAAGACAAATCATGGGCTCAGATGTAAACAAGGCTAAGCACTTTTTTCTAACAAATCGCACAAGGTAAAGTAACCCCTGGAAAACATGACGGGAGGAAGGCCATAGCGTCACTACAACCATGTGCATTCATCCTCATTGCATTAAGCGCTCTGAACAGCGGAAGCCAACAAGAATCCACGTTTCTATTATTGGGGTCACCGAGTATAGGTTATGGAGGAGCTGAAACAAACTAAATGTACATGGTTTATTCTCTATAGAGCATGAAGCTACACAACAAATGTAATGCTTTTCTGCTCATTTGCGATGATGTTTTTTGTACAAGTGGTAACTTTGACCTAGAAATTAAACAATAATGTGGTTCTTTTTCTAACTTTGTTCAGTGTTTCACTATGGGAATCGCCTCGGCGTGACCAACTAAGGAAGCTCCAATGACACCACGTCTGTCAGTGACAGACAGGTCGAACTGTGCTGGGGCCCCGCCCCTTCATATTATCACAGTCGACCGCCCCTCGCAAATCATTCTCGTTTTCTTCCCGTGAAGAACTATAGCTCCCTCAGCTTATCTTGGCTAGCTTGGATTGCTGCTTAACAGTTCGCAGACGACCCATTAGGACGCGTCGCCGAACGCAGCTCCTGGCCGTAGTCTGGGTTTGCTGGGCAAGTGACTTCATAGAAGTATATCTGGTTACTACACAGTATTAGGGCAGTGTCCGCGTCAAGGCGTACTGTTCTTCCGACGGCTCGGTATTTGGTTACCTGTGCCTTCGGTGGCTGTGTATTATCTATTGTATCGGGCTAACACGTTACGGCGAGCCTGCCGGGTCTCGGTTAGCATTAGTGCTAGTCGAGCTGAGTAACCGTTGTTTCGCTAACGTGTCACGACGAGCGAACGGTTACGGTGCGCGGTTAGCGGGTTTAACCCCCGGTTCCCGAAACAATTTACCGTCAAGCTAAGCTAACGCTAGGCTCGGCTAATTGTGGTGTATTCCCATCTCTTCTCAGTTGCTATGTCGGCCGCTACCCCCGCCAAAGGGTCAGAGCTGAAGGCCAAAGAGGCTGCATCCCGCCCGTGCCCTGCGTCATGCGGGGCGTCCATCTCGGGCAGGGACCCGAACAACTTCTGCCAGCCGTGCCTATCTGCATGAAGGAGATGGGCAGGTACTGGTCCAGCCCGTTCAAGAGTAAGCTCCCCACCAAGGGCTACTCTAAACTGGAAGTTGATGGGATGGGAGAGCTGGGCCTAGCAGGCCCACCAGAGGTAGAACCTTCAGTGGCTTACCACCTCCACCCAAACCGCCGCTCTCTCTCAGCTTCCTCGAACATCACCCTGCCTAATAAAACAGAGCGCCTCATCGCCTCTGTTTTGCAGAGAATGTACCGCTATGCGGCACAGTCAGTGTGTTCGCTAAACGCGGTGACTTTGCTGTCTGCGTACCAGGGAGAAATCTTAGAGGAGATGGGCAGACAACTGGACTCTGGGTCACCGAACCCGGCCCTGTGGGATGAGATTTGCGTAGTAAATGATCTCATCCTCCGCTCATCACGCGGTGCGGTGCAGGGCTGCGGCCGTGTGATGGGACTTGCGGTCTCAGGCGAGAGGGCCCTATGGCTGAATCTTTCGGGCCTCAGCGATGTGCAGAAGGCGGAAGTGATGGATGCTGCTTATGACCCGGCTAAGGGTTTGTTTGGCCCGGCTCTTGAAAAGATGAGGGAGGCCAGCACCCTCAGGAAACAAGAGGGCGAAGCCTTCGACCTCTGTTTGCCCCGAAAACACATCCCTCGCACCCCGCAGGTGCCCAGGGCTGGTTTTGCAGCTGCAGCTGTGAGAGGGGCACGGGGTGGCGCCAGACCGCACAGACAGGCAGCGAGTCAGCAGACTGTCCAGCAGCCTCGAGTGGAAAACCCCAAACCATGGGGCAAACACTCCTTTGCAGCCGCTGCAGCAAAGAACCGCCCATCCCACCCCGGGGAAGGGAAGAAGAAGCGCACGTCCTAACCGGCCTTGCTTTTCCCTCCCCTCCACCTTCAAAGAAAAGAAGGGAGGTGGAGGTGAGACAACCCCCCCGAGTTTGTATTCCAAATTCCCTGGTGTTTTCCAGTTCTCCAGAGGAGCTTTTGATGTTTCTCCCCCCTCAAGTTCAAGGGAGGGAGTATCGGGGGCGGCTAACACTGTGTCACCAAGCACTTCTTCCCACCTCAAACAAAGTTATAAAGTTTGTATTCTCGCAGCCAGGCCGAGGGCCGAGGGCGAAATACATTATAAAAACAAATCCATGTTATGGCCCCATAATCCCCACAGGGGGAGCTCACGCTCCACCGAGGGGAGGCCGGGTCCTCCAGGTGAGGAAAGTGACGTCACCGTACGGTGCGTTCAGCCCACTCACTGGTCGGGCGGAACGGTGGCGCGCATGCGCAGTGCATCCGTGGGTCTTGTCAACTATTTCTCAGGGGTACAGACTACAATTCGCTATGAAGCCACCCAGATTCAACGGGGTGTTAGTTTCAGTAGCCAAGGGCGATTCAGCCTGCTGTTGAACAAACAGGCGATCAGAGCTGTCCCGAGCGAGGAAGCTCAGCGGGGTTTTTACTCCCGCTACTTCCTCATTCCAAAGAAGGGGAGTACTTCCCTCCGCCCCATTTTAGATCTCCGTGTGTTAAACAGGCACTTACGCAAGTACACGTTCAGGATGTTAACACACAAGGGGCTCTGTCGTTCAATACGTCCGGGGGATTGGTTTGTAACGATCGACCTCTCGGACGCTTATTTTCATATCGCCATTTATCCAGCGCACCGGAGGTTTCTCAGGTTTGCTTATCAGGGCAAAGCCTACGAGTACCAAGCCATCCCATTCGGGCTCTCATTAGCCCCGCGGGTGTTCAGCAGGTGTGTGGAAGCCGCTTTAGCGCCGTTACGGAACAGCGGCATCAGGATTTTCGCGTACATAGACGATTATCTGATATGCTCCCGGTCACGGGAACAGGCGGTCAAAGATTCCACTACGGTGATAAATCATCTCACGGATCTGGGATTCAATATAAACTGGACGAAGAGTCGAGTCGAACCGGCGTAGTGTACAGATTACTTGGGTCTCAACATAAACTCCATCTCCTATCGCGTCTCGCTGACGGAGGCGAGAGTAACGTCCCTCACACAGTGTCTCTCCCTCTTCGGTCTGGGGAAGGCTGTGTCGTTCAGACTATGCCTTCGCCTGCTCGGCCTGATGGCGTCGGTGATATCGGTGGTACATCTGGGGCTTCTACGGATGAGGGATTTTCAGCGCTGGGTCGCGGCATTGCGCCTGTGTCCGCGCCGTCACCTCAACCGCAGAGTGAAAGTGTTACCGTCGTACGTGGCTGCGCTCCGCCCGTGGGAGGTGTCATCCAGGGTAACCTTGACAACGGATGCCTCCCTGTCAGGGTGGGGAGCAACAATGTCGGGCAGGACGGTGAACGGGACCTGGGACCCGAGGCTGGCTCAGAGTCACATAAACATCTTGGAACTCTGGGCAGTGTTTTATGCACTGAAACATTTTCTGACATTTCTCCAAGGACGCCATGTCCTGGTAAAAACAGACAACACCACCGTAGTGGCGTACATCAACCGCCAAGGCGGCACTCGCTCACTGCAGTTACACAGGTTGGCTCGAAAGCTAATCCTGTGGAGCAGCACCAAGCTCCTGTCTCTTCGAGCCACACACGTTCCAGGGGTGCTGAACAGGGGTGCAGATCTTCTGTCCCGAGGGAACCCTCTGTACGGGGAGTGGGCTCTTCACCCTCAAGTGGTGAAGCAAGTCTGGCAGAAATACGGCCAAGCAGACGTAGATCTCTTCGCCTCGCGGGAAAACACTCAATGTCCACAGTTTTTCTCCCTGGCAGACGCAAACGCACCACTGGGGATGGATGCGCTGGCCCACTCGTGGCCAAACGTGCTGCTCTATGCATTCCCCCCGCTCAGTCTGATCTCCCCGACTCTAGATAGGGTACGAGAACAGGGCTTGACGCTAATCCTGATAGCGCCGCGGTGGCCGTCCAAACATTGGGTGGCGGAAATAATACAGCTGTTGACGGGCGAGCCGTGGCCTCTGCCCATACGCAGGGACCTTCTGTCCCAGGCTGGCGGAGAGATCTACCACCCTCACCCAGACCGAATAGCGCTCTGGGCTTGGCCGGTGAGAGGTGGATCCTGAACGCAACAGGCCTGCCTGAACGGGTCATGGACACCATTCAGAGTGCAAGAGCCGCCTCCACGCGCTCTCTTTACAGTGGTAAATGGCGGGTTTTTGAGGAATGGTGCCGTCTTGACGTCATTCCTTTCCAGTGTTCAGTGGTTAACCTGCCATGTTTCCTGCAGGATTTAGTAGACAAGGGCAAAGCTTTTTCTACTATTAAAGTATATTTAGCGGCTATCTCAGCCTGTCATTGGGGCTTTGGCGAGAAGACGGTGGGGCAGCACCTTTTGGTATGTTGTTTCATGAAAGGTGCTCGCCGTAAGCTCCCCGTCTCCAGGCCCCTGGTTCCTCTGTGGGATCTATTGGTGGTGTTGGAGGCCCTCTCTCAACACCCGTTTGAGCCGATGGAGGCAGCGGGGATGAAATTTGTTTCACTTAAGACAGCCTTGCTCTTGGCTTTAACCACAGCAAAGCGTGTGAGTGACTTACAGGCTTTGTCCATTCGCCCTTCTGCTTACAGTTTGCTCCAGGGCTCACTAGGGTCTGTATGCGGCCCAACCCGGCTTTTGTGCCTAAGGTGGTGGAGACAGCGTACAAGTGTCCCACGGTAGAGCTTTCAGCTTTCCACCCTCCTCCGTTTTCCTCCTCAGAGGACCGAAGGCTTAACACGTTGTGTCCAGTGCGAGCACTGCATTTGTATGTGAGTAGATCGGCAGGTTTCAGAAAAGCAGATCAGCTGTTCGTGTCCTGGGCCAATTCTCACAAAGGAAAGCCATTGTCACACCAGAGGCTGTCCCACTGGATTGTGGAGGCCATATCTCTAGCCTATAGCTGTAGGGGTTTGCAGCCCCCCCAGGGTTTGAGGGCTCATTCCACGAGGAGTATGGCCACCTCATGGGCCCTGTTCAAGGGGGTTCCAGTGCAGGATATTTGTGCGGCAGCAAGCTGGTCTACACCTCACACTTTTGTAAGGTTTTACAGGCTAGATGTCTCAGGGCCTTCCTTAGCACACGCTGTGCTAGAGGCCAACGCGCCAGAGTCCCTGTGAGGGTCAGTACCGGGCTAAACAGTTTGTGGCTTCGGGAACGGCATGCAATACGGGAGCGGTCTATATCTCCCATAGTGAAACACCGAACGAAGTTAGAAAAATAACTTTGGGTTACTTAACGTAACCTCGGTTCTTTGATAACAGTGAGGTGTTTCACCACACATCCCTCCTTGCATTGACACAGAAAGAAATCGGTCTGGAATGATTTGCGAGGGGCGGTCGACTGTGATAATATGAAGGGGCGGGGCCCCAGCACAGTTCGACCTGTCTGTCACTGACAGACGTGGTGTCATTGGAGCTTCCTTAGTTGGTCACGCCGAGGCGATTCCCATAGTGAAACACCTCACTCTGTTATCAAAGAACCGAAGTTACGTTAAGTAACCCAAAGTTAGAGAGTCATCCAAAGCCGTTCTCCTCCTCAGGGTAATGTACATATTATTGTCTGGCAAAAACAACCGAGGGCTCTTCACTCTCTGTACTGATGTGTTTTCATGCACAGGAATCCCAGAGAGGAAGTGGAACCTAAACCTACGTACCTCTCTGCCAGTACCTCCAGAGGACTCTTGCCCTGTGCCCAGCCCCTCACCATCCACGCACTGTCGAAGGCTGCCATAAAACCTCGAGCACAACCCGTACCCATGGGCCAGAAGGGCTATAAACAGAGAACAGTGTCATAAGCTGATTCTGAGTCACGTGCGGGCCGGAGAATCAATAGACTCCGGCGGCAGTGCTTCTGCCCGCCCCCTCGTACCTCCAGCAGACTATCCCCCACCAGCGTGACCAGCAGCTGGTGTCCGTGTTTCTCCCTGATCAAGGCGGCGTTCTCCGAGGCATACATGCTGGTGAAGTCGAACATGGCTACGTCAGGCTGCCCGTAGTGGTTGATGGCGTAGTCCAGGGAAGGCAGCTGGTAGTTGGTGCCGAAGTCGGCCGCCTCGCGGGCGTACGAGAGCAAGGCTTTCTGGTTGACGTTATCGGGGCTCAGCAGTCGCTCCGTTTCCATGTAGTCCTGTTTTGAGACGCATGAGGGGATTTAAAGCAGAGATCAGTGACACAAACTACATGACTGTATTTCTTCAGTCATGTAGTTTGTGTTTGGGGGATATTTGTAGTAGGCCTTGAATAACTTGATCGATTTAAATCAACCTTGCTTTCAGCAGCAGACAAACCAAAGTTACTAGCCCGTGGATGCAGAGAAGTATACAATTAAAGATAAAACACACAAAATTATGGATTTTTTTCTGTATTTGCTCCTAGGGAGTCTTTAAAGGCAATGTTACGCTTGGTTTTGCCGTATACCTGTCCCAGATTGGTCCCCACCCCAAATGAAGGATGCCATCTCTCTTTGAGTTATTGTTGTTGTTGTTCTTACCAAAGCCAGGTGAACGATTACCCCATGCTTTTACCTTAGACCCAGCATGGCACGCTGAACAGAGATGGTGCCATAATAATATCCTCATTTAATCTCTTATTATCGCTCTTCAGACGACAGCGACCCTTGCTGGCTTATAATGCCTGTGTGTGTGTGTGTGTGTCATAGCAGTGCAGTTAGAGAGCACGAACAGCCAATTTCATTATCATCCCCTATGGAGGCCCATCAGTCACTGCAGAAGTAAGCTTATTGCTGCCCCGGCAAATACAGGAACATTTCTGTACACCCCAAAAAAGCTCCCTCCACTCTGGGAGCAATGTGTGTTTTCTGGCCCACAAAACTGTTTCTCAGATAGTTTTAGCTGCAAATTGGTGTAAAATGCGCCTCCGGGCCTACAATTTAGACTTAAAAAGTGCTAGGGAAACATTCTTCTCCAACATCATTAACAACAACACTAATAAGGCAAAAACCCTATTTGAAACTGTTGACAGACTGACCAACCCCCCAACACAAATACCACCTGAACTCCATTCCACACAGAAATGCAACGAGTTTGCGTTCTTTTATACTGATAAAATTGAAGGCATCAGACGCGCCATTAATATCTCAAACAAAAATGTTGGATCACCACCCTATTTAGGCAAAAGTAACACAGCAATGATGACAAGCTTTAATGCCATAGACTCTCAAACTCTAGTGGAGACGGTGACAAATTTAAAACCATCCACCTGCTGTCTTGATGCTCTACCTACCAACTTCTTTAAGAATGTTTTTGACTGCCTAGCAACAGACGTATTGCAAATAGTTAACTCTATTTAGACAGGCCATTTCCCAAAAGCTTTCAAAACTGCAGTTATTAAACCTCTCCTAAAAAAGCGGAGCCTAGATGCCTCTATTATCAACAACTACAGACCAATTTCAAATCTACCTTTCATAAGTAAAATAATTGAGAAAGTTGTCCTACAACAACTTAATCACTTCCTGGCTTCAACTGGCTGCCACGACAATTTCCAGTCAGGATTTCGACCTCTTCATAGCACCGAGACGGCCCTTATTAAAGTTGTAAATGACATCAGTCTTAACACAGACTCTGGCAAAACTTCAATATTAATGCTATTAGACCTCAGTGCTGCATTTGATACTGTCGACCACTCAATACTTTTGGACAGGTTGGAAAACTGGGTGGGGCTCTCAGGCACAGTCTTAAGCTGGTTCAGGTCATATCTACAAGACAGGAACTATTTTGTTTCCATTGGTGACTTTGTATCAAACAACCGACGTAACGTGTGGAGTCCCCCAAGGTTCGATCTTAGGGCCGACTTTATTCAACATCTACATGCTCCCACTAGGACAAATCATGCAAAGAAATAAAATTGACCACCATTGCTCCGCTGATGACACCCAAATCTATGTAGCGCTATCACCAAACGACTATCGCCCCATAGATCTTCTGTGCCAGTGCATTGAGCAAATCAAAGACTAGATGTGTCAACATTTCCTACAACAAAATGAAGACAAAACTGAGATCATTGTATTTGGTGCTAAAAAATAAAGGTTTAAAGTAACCTTCACTCTCTATCCCTGAAAACATCAAATAAAGCCAGAAATGTGGGGGTTATTATGGATTCAGATTTACACTTGGAGAGTCACATCAAATCAGTAACAAAATTGGCCTACTACCACCTCAAAAATGTAGCACGACTTAGAGGGCTCATGCCAGCTCAAGACTTAGAAGCACTTGTACATGCCTTTATAACTAGTAGGCTAGACTATTGTAATGGTCTCCTTGCAGGTCTTCCAAAAAAAACTGTCAGGCAGCTCCAGCTTGTTCAGACTCTAGCAGCAGCCTGTACGCTGCTGCTAGAGTTCTAACAAAGACCAAAAAATGTGAGCACATTACACCAATTCTTAAATCCTTACATTGGCTCCCAGTATGTCAGAGAATTAATTTCAAAATCCTACTGCTCACATATAAATCACTACATGGTTTAGGGCCAAAGTATATCACTGATATGCTTCCACTACACAAGCCTTCAAGATCACTAAGATCTTCTGACACCAATCTGTTAGTGATTCCCAGAGTAAATACAAATCATGGGAAAGCATCATTTAGTTACTACGCAACAAACAGGTGGAATAAACTTCCTGAAGATTTAAGACTTGCCCCAACTCTGACCACGTTTAAAACAAGACTGAAAACTTTTATGTTCAGCTTCGCCTTCTGCTAAATTTTTACCTACATTGCACTTTTAACCTCTGCCTTTAATTAAACAATTTAAATAAGATTTTAATTTATAATTTTATTTGCTGTTTTTAATTGTCTTTTAATTCCTGCATTTTATTTCACTTTATTGTATGAAATGTTATAATGTGAAGCACTTTGAGTCTGCCTTGTGTATGAAAAGTGCTATACAAATAAAATTGTCTTGCCTAAACCCCCCCCCCCCCCCTTATTTCGGAAGTATGATTTTGGTCAGTCACCATTATCTCTGTAAATAATCTCTCATTTGATTGTGGAGTGAAGTAGAGGAGAAGCACGGCCAGTCAACCAATCAGCAGCCAGACATGAGACGCAAATGTGTGGACCAAAAATACATCAGTACAGCTTTCTTTGTCCAGTTAAATCTTCCATTAGCCTTTGTTCCATTCCATTTCATATTTGTCAACAGCTTTTAAATGACATAGATATGCAAATTTGGGGCTTAATTATTGCACCTTTGTAGCCCCCGGCTAATCTCTGCAGAGGCAACCTTAGCATTTTAGCAAGTAGAGTGCAATGCTAAATCCCCTGTGACCATGCCGACTATACACAACAATGATGTTAACTGAGGCTGGCCTCAACATGCTAAGAAAACATAACGAGTGTGTATTCAGAAATGAGACTAAAACAAAAAGATTTGATGTAAACTTCCATATTTAAGGATAAGTCTGTAAATAGATGTGTATGTAAACTCACATTCATGATGACCCCTTTTTCCAGCAGACTGTGCTTTTTAGCCGTCATGACAAAGTAGTGGGTGTTGTCTCTGTAGTAAACTATGTTCTCCAAGTCGATCCCTGACAAAAGGAGCAGGAAGAAAAAGAACCTTAACAAAACTTACACTTTATTGACTGAAAAAGGCTTTGCAATAAGGGTGGCTGCTGCCACATTGTTTTGTCTCAATCACCGGTGTCCTCTTTGAGTTCCAGAAAGAACTTCTGATTGAAAATGAACGCCACGCCACTGATCTCCTCCACTTTCGCCTCCGCTGTGGTGTTCCTGTTGACAAAGTTGGCTGTGATGGCGATGGCCAACTTCCCTCGGAACTCTTTGCGGCCAAAACCTGCAGAGAGGGGAAGAAGAGCAGTACCTTAGCAGGGAAACACGCAGAGAAAAAACTATGGCGATGATTTTATTGACCAACATATATGTAACCCAGTCAATATTGGTCTAAAATGGCCATTAACACATTAGGGAGTTGTGGAGACACAAAGGCTCATGGAGTCAAATGTTCGAAAATCTTGCTCTCTTGAATCAGGAATTCACATCATAATTTTGTCAAATAGGAAAGACAATTTTAGAGACCAGGCTGCCATACCAGCAGCACCCCCCGCTTGGGGGTTCTGGTTTTCCTCCTCTCTCCTACCGTCCAGTGTGTTCTTGCGTCCGTCCGCTCCAATCACCACATCTAAATCAAAGTCAGCGACGGGATGGCCGGGGGGACGGACTTCGGCTCGCCACCCGGGACCTAAGGGGCAAAGCAATTTGATGTTTTTTACAGGAGGACTGTATCAGCGGACTCCATTAATAGACTTGCTATTTGCTATCAACGCGTATTTTGTGAGCGTGGAGATTTCTGTATATAGCTGCGATATGCTGGTGTGAACAGCCCACACACACACACACACACACACACACACACACACACGCTCACTCACTCTCATCACTCTGGTCTGCCGGTGGCTCCACCAGTTTGACAAACTCTACGTTGACGTGAATTTCCACTCCCAGAATCAGACACACTTTGAGCAGCATCAGCTGGAGGTAGCGGATACCTGGAGTGGACACACAAACAAATGTACACACAAGTTGTTATCACTGCTTTGCTACTGCACCATATGCCATTGCGTATGCAAATACAGTAATCTCATCCCGAATAGAGCCGGCTGTAGGTACATACAGGAACTGGTTAGTTTAGTATTGGGAGGGAATATTGATCATATCTCATACACAATATCAAACTGGAGTTTTACTATATTCTGCTTATTACTGATTATTAAGGACCCCCTCACCCCGTACTCCCGCAGCACCTCCCACATTTTCTCTCGGGGGACCCGGTCATATGCCTTCTCCAAGTCTACAAAACACATGTAGACTGGATGAGCATACTCCCAAGCCCCCTCCATGATCCTGGAAAGAGTAAAGAGCTGGTCCGTCGTTCCACGACCAGGATGAAAACCGCATTGTTCCTCTTCAATCCTTGGTTCGACTATCGGCCGAACCCTCCTTTCCAGCACCGGAGTAGACTTTACACGGGAGTAGTGTTACACAAGGGGTCCTGCTGGACCCCTTGTGTAACACTCACTCCCCAGTCTCATCAGAGACTCTGACTCCATCACCACATTCCAGTCCCGCCTCAAAACACATCTTTTCTCATCTGCTTACCCGTAGCCCCCTCCCTTCCCCTACCCTTCAGTCTGTGTAGTTGTATGCGATCGGCCCGTATATGTCGCCCCTCGTGTCTTGTCTCCTGCCTGTCTGCCTCACACCGTCCCCCCTTCAACTATGTTAAAGCGTCTTTGAGACATTTAGAAAAGCGCTATATAAAACCAATTATTATTATTATTATTATACCCCTGTAATTACTGATTTATGGAAATATTAATTCCAGTGTTTTTTTGCATGTGGTAGGATTGTGTTCAAACGAATAATTTTCCTAAATTAGGGATCCTAGATTAAAACAAATTAAGACTGCAGTACATTGCAATACATTTAATTGTAACCCCTGTATCAAGATACCTAAATAGATTCTTGCCAAAACACAGCCTCAAAGATTGACACCGAAATGTATCTATCTGATGTAGGAAACATTGTGTAGAGGCCCAGACCAGCCGGTGTTGATATATCAATAGGAATGTGGACAATGAAATAGCAATAACCAACTTGTGTTAAAATTTAAGAAATATACTCATACTTCCACAATTCCTACTTTGTCAAGGACATATTTCATAAACCTCTAATACAGACCTAATCCGATTGGTACCAGGTATAGATAGACCTGGTACCAAACAAAAAATGAAGAAAAGAAACAATCTGTGTTCCTCACTGTATAGAACTCATTGGGCTTTCAGCAACTAGCTAAGTACATTGATGATTGGGCTTTTAGTTTATTTAAATTGTATTCACTATTTTAATGAAGATTTTACAGTATTGCAGAGTCCGTGACCATGAAAAGTCATCGATCATCAAAACCTGGTCAGTACAATAACTTTGAAAGAGTGCCTCCCCAGTCACGAACCTCACCGCACGTCACTGGTCCACGCGGCAGAAAAACAACTGCCGACGCAGTCGTCCGTGCCGGAGTTCTTCACATTGCCGTCTCCAACGTTTCATAATTGATTCATTAATGGCAAGTTTACGTGCAGCTACTCGGTTTCCTTCTCAGACAGCCGTATTGGTTGCCCGTAACTTGTCTGTCTCGCCCTCACACGTTTGCCCGTAAAAGATGATACATTAGCCGCACCTTGTATAAGCGGCAGGGTTCAAAGCGTTAAAAAAAAAGTAGCGGCTTATAGTCCGGAATTTTCAGTAATGGAGAGGAAACATCCCTGTCGGGAGATAAGAGACTCGCAACCTGCTGGAAGAGATTTTCCAGACTAGATTGCTGCAGTCAAAGTCGACGTACACCGCCCACACAATCAAGTCACCAGCGTGAAGTCTTACTGAAACGAAAAAGAGAATGTGTAACATTTCAAAGTGTAGAGAGCCATAGAAGACGAGCTAAATGAAACAACTTCATGCTTCCCCACTCCCCCACGCGTCACATCGTAAAGAGGCACAGCGCTATCGCCAGATAAGGGACTTATCTGTTCGGCTCACTTTCTGTGACCAGTAGCCAACCTGCTTGTGGTGGCGGGCGTGGTTTGGCTCAGCTGCAGAGGGGACGGAGAAGGGAGTGGCTCGGGGAACGGTGCCAGGAGGAGGCATAATTGGCCTCAGGTGGAATTAATCAGGTGTGTGTGTGTGTTCTGCCTTAGGAGAGACCCGGCGACAGCGACAGGACTGAGCCAGGCGAGGAAGCTGGAGCGTCATTCCGGGACCCCCCCGTTACACTGCTGTTTCACGACCGTAAAAATTGGACGAATGTCTCCGTTCTACTTCCATGTGCCTTTGTGTAGTTATTCATGTCCAATGCATGCAAGTCACTTTGGACAAAAAGCTTGGATTTTATAGAAATTATATACTTTTCGTACATTATTTTTTCAAAGTACAATAAATTACGAGCACTGATAGACGTAGTGAAACTATTTGGCCTTGATAAACAATAATTTCTATTGTTATTGTTATTCAAAATGTGTGGTAACTGAACCGCCTCACTCTCCTTCTCTCTCTACGTATTTGGATCAACTAATAAAAAGGACCAAAGAGAGAAAAATTAAGAAACAGCCGACGTGGATTCACACTCACTGATGTGGTCAATGGCGCCGGCACAGAATTTTCCGTAGAACTTCTTTGCTCCGAGCCCCCGGAGGTCATGAATGGTGAAGGGCCAGAGATGGAGGACGTTGTTCCTGGAGAAAGTGTCCCTCTTCTCGATCACCACCACCTTACAGCCCAGCAGGGCCAGCTCGATGGCCGTCCGCAGGCCGCAAGGGCCACCGCCGATAATCAGGCACTGAATGGAGGGATTGGGCTTTTGTTAGCGAGTGCTTATTCACCTTACTTTAGGGGACAAATGGTAACGGCCCAATAACGCAAGTCAGTCAAGTTTATGTTAGGGTTGTACAAAGCGGGAATTTGAACCGAAATTAATGCAAGTCAATAAAGAGATAAACACTTTTTTTTATATCAACAACGGATTAGATGTGTAATGCGAAAGGTGCTTTGCACAAGTTGTTCGCTTTTGTCAGACTACCCACTAAAAAGGTAAACACACTACCAGTGGTGAGGGTTTACACGTGTGTAGCATTATAATAAGGTGTGGAACATGGTGATAGTTTACATCAAATATTTTTGGTAACTGGCACTGATGTTTCATCTTATTTTAGACTACAAGAGAATAAATAAGAAAAGCAGCCGACGGTGTCATCATTTGGAAATAAGAAAGAAAAGGATGAAAATCATCAAAGGGCCCAAGTGTTAATGTCTCAGTTTGGCTGACCTTTTGCCAGTTTAATTAAACTGTTTGCGCAGCCATCTGGGAGGGGTTGTTTACATTTTTTGAAGTACGATTGCGTCCTACATTGAAAAGAGAACCAATATAGAGTTCCAGAAAACAGATCACCTAGCCAGCTTCTGGGTCCCCGTCCAAATAGAAGGTTCTCCCACAAAAATGTCTGGGATAATAATTGAGCTGTTATTTTTGGCTTTGCATTTTTTTCAGCCCAACGCACCTCTGTTAATCTCCCTTCTGTGTGTCTCTCGGGCCTGTACCCTGCAGACATCGTTCCCTTTCAAATATGAGGTCATTCCAGACCTGGGCTAAAAGTTGGAATGAATTGTATTCCAAACATTGGGCAACCATGGTCCAGAGTAGAGTGGGTGCGCCAGGAACCGCATGGGTTGGCGGTTCGAGCCCCGGCAGCTCGCAAGACACCTAACTGCTCCCCGGGCGCCTTTGCGGCGGCGCACTGCTCGCATTGTGTGGGATGGGTTAAATGCAGAGAACAATTTCCTGTATGTGTAAAATAAAACTTGGCAATAAAAATGGCTTCTCCCTCTTCTAAATAAATTTGCATTTCTTGCCTCTCCAATTTAAGATTACTTTAGTCCAATTAATTAATTTAAATGTACCTTTATAAATAGTTCTTATATAATATATATATATATATATATATATATTTCTGTTTTTTTAGGGATATTTTAAATCATTCATATTTTAAATGTCTTTCACTTTAAAAGGAACTTAAATTCCCATGTTAGTGACGCAGTTAACGCAAGATGCCACAGTAGAAGTTACGGCAGGGAGTTTTATAAAAAAATAAATAGGAGAGCACAGAGGGAGAGGTAAAATGCAGCGGCCTATTTATTTGGACCATGTTACCTCAACTCACACATGTCACTACTGCTAATCCAGCTAGGGGCATTAAAAGCTGTGGGAGCTGTAAGGTCCTCTTACCCTGGTGCCCTGGCAGGCTTTATTCTGGTTGTAGACCTTGTGCTGCGCCCTTTTGTCCAGTTTGGTCCACAGGGCTTTGACCTTCCACGTGCTGATCGCCGCTTTCAGCGAGCTGTAGAAATTGGGGTAGTCTAGCGGGTCCAGCTCCAGCTGCCTGCAGAGGATGCTGAAGGCCTGCAGGGTCCCTTTGCAGGTGGTCGCCTGGACAAAGTTCTCAAAGAGCACGCCGGCCTGCGCCGTGCACTCGTCTTCCGTCTCGGCCATCTGCTGATACTTAAAAAAAAAGTTCAATCTCTCTCCCTCTCTCCTTCCTCCTCCTCTGCTGCCTCCTTTTCTCGTGCACTCCTTCCACGGCGTCAGAGCTGGACTCCTGTGACGCGGTTTGCGCAGTGATGCGCAGCTGGTTCTGAAAACAAACAACAAAAAGGTAAAATAAAACAATCCGTACCAGACAGTCATATCCACCCTACAGGAAACCGTTGGCTCACTTTCATCCTTTAAGACAACTTTGGGACTAGCCAACTGAAGGTCGTAATCATTCGATCGGGCAATATAGCATTGGTCGATGAAGACACAACTGGCATTAGTCTGCGACAGAGTGCACTCTTTCCGTTTAATATGAATTTGATAAACAAAGAACTGAATTTAACATATCTCGAGTGAGGAGATGTGATGTAGAGATGTTGCACACATCTATGGTAGCGACAGAAACCAGTCAGCCGCCCTAAAGCATATCCTGCTTTATGGTCTATTTGATTCTAAATGAACGAAATGCTGAGTTAAATCAGACTTGAAACTAGAGATGGAGACCATGAACCTGGACATTGCTGTCTGCTTTCGGCACCTTTTTGAAAAACTCTCGTCACTATCGAGAGTCCCACTGATTTTGTTTGACAGAATCCCCCTCACAGCGTCTTCGTTAACAATCTCCATCATCCTCTGCTAAATACAACAGACACTTTGGGCTGGGAAACTTCGAAATCATATAAAAGGAGCGACTTCGAAATCTTATAAAAGGAGCACATTCAAATGAAAGGAATGTTGGCAGTGCGTGTTGAAAAAGTGTTGCCTCAGTGTCGTGCACTGCTTTGACCAGACATCCCCGAACAAGACAATAATCTCAGCCACCAACAACAACTTAATACAGGGTTTCATTAATTGACCTGCGCACATATGTTTTCTGCCTACAACACCCTCTGTAGCTGGATTACGGATTATTGGATTATGACGTATGAGAGTGCGCTTGGAAGGGCTTCAGCTGACCAGAGAAACGCGGCGGCTAAAGACAAAGCAGTCACACGGTCTGATCACAAGAGGCACAAGATGCTGAAGAAAAGACCCGGGCCACATGTCAGGAGTGTACACCGCTGTGATGGGAGTCAGCAACGTTAGTCGCCAACTGTTGTTTAAAAAAAAAATACTTAATTTTGTCTGTATGAATATGCTTGTGTTATAGTTCTGTCTGAAATGCCCGGTTTGGCTCGGATTGGCTTGCGAGAAAAATGTCTTTTCATAGCCATCAGCCAAGATAACCTCCAGTATGTGCGCAATCATGAAACCTCCCCCCGACAAAGTTTTCTTTGGAAAAAAAATTGAACTTTCTTCCCGGCCTGCATAAAATGCTTTCGCCGACAATAAATGGATTCTCTCTTCCTATGTTCCAAACAACAACACACTGAGGTCCTTTGAAACCTATGCCAGGCGCTTTCTTGGACGATTCATATCCTGATCGCTGGAAGCTCACTGCAATATTTTCCCTATTACAGCCATGGAATCTGCCAACACCAGAGGACCATGGAGAAAAATACCCAAGTACAGATAAGAGTCTGCACGTACAGAAACTTTTACACCCACATTCACACAGAGGAGGTTAGAGGAATTTGTTTGGAAATAACGCCCTGATATCAGCTCAGGGATAAGCACAACACATGGAGATTCTTTTTTTTTTACTGAAAATGAATTGAATACGTTTAAACAAATATAAAGCTGTATTAACCCTGTCTAATTATATAATTATTATGTTATATTACATTACAGGTCAGTTAGCTGACGCTATTATCCAAAAGCGACTTACATTGTATTTTTAACCCATGGCTTTTTACATTTTTGCCCGGGGAGCAATTAGAGGTTAGGTGTCTTGCTCAGGGACACTTCAACATGGGAGATGGAGCAGCCAGGGCTCGAACTGCCAAACTTGGTGGTTTGTGGTGTTGGTGGTGTACGTTCATTATTCAGTAGTTTTGGAGGCAGGCCTGAGGGCTGCGTTTTCATAGTTGGATTATTTTACCTGGCCTGCAGACGCCTCATTAAACAAAAAATCCAAAACCCTGTCTGATTTTTCTTTTTTTAAATCAATGATGGAAAAATGTAAAGGCCGTCTTCGACAAAATATCCTATTTGATTAGAAACACAAAATCCACCTGTCTTGATAAAATGATTGACAACATTTTCGCAACCCTGTCAAAATGACCGACGATGAGAAAGTAGCAGTGCATTGAAGAATATTTCCACCATTTTTCTTGGTAATTGTGAACTCTCAGTCAGCGCTTCTGTAACCACCCAGGAAGTGATTACACAATCCCATTTACTGGCTTCCTAGTCGGGACTCCACAGGACCTTAGCGCCCACTGTACATTAGATGCCCATGTCTTCCTGTTAACGCTGGGCATTCATAATGGATATCCATTTCTGAATGGATGACGTGTTAATCAAGTCAGCTATTTCAGTAGCTTTGGTCTATAATGGAGGTGTGACCAGCAATACAACAACCTTTCAGAAGTAACAGGATAGTAAACGGCATTTATAGATATGCATGTAAAGGATGTTGCCTATTACATGTAAAGGCCAGGAGCCCATGTTGAGATAAGCATACCTGCCCGCCAAATGACTCAGACGTGTGTTCGCACTTATCTTGGTGTAAAAGGCTGGAAGGAGTAAACAATAAAACAAACAAATAAATATATATATATATATATATATATATCAAGACAATTAAGATAAGGTTGATACTTGTAATGTCACAGAGTATGGAATCAGGTTACCAGGTGCCTGAGGTACAAGGAACCAGAGAGCAGGAAAAATTTGTCAATGTGCTACAGACAAATAGAGGCTTCATGCACAACGCAGACACAAAATTACCGCATACTACGCATGATGCCTCTCAATAACTTTTTTTGTCTAGCATTTACCAAGCATTGGTGTTCATTCATTGTCAGTTCTTTAATGGTTGTGTCAATTATAATGGACTGAGATTATGAGCTTTTGCTCAGAACTTGTGAAAAAAAAAAAAAAAGAATCAAGTGTCCTTGTCCCAGTTACATTTTCTGTTAATACAAATGTAATTACTTAACAGCTCATTTAGCTGACGCTTTTATCCAAAGTGACTTTACATTTTTAACCCATGGATTTTACATTTTGCCCGGGGAGCAAATTAGGGGTTTGGAGGATGAAAAACGGGTTAGGGGTTAGGGGTCTTGCTCAGGGACACTTCAACATGGGACATGGGGCAGCCAGGACTCGAACCACCAACCTTGTGGTTCCCAGCTGGATCCACGATATTGTGGTACCATGGAGGATATGGAGATCTTGGATGATGTCAAAGAAAAGCTCTAGCAAGAACTACTAGACATCAATGAGAAGGAAAAGGAGAATGTGCCAGTGCTGGAGGTAAAGCTGCAGGGCGAAATGAAGGATCTGAATATGAACCTCCGGCCACCAAGAAGAAGAGGCTGTGTGACCTTCTCCAGAGCAGAAGAACCCTACTTAGTCACCAGACTTGGGCAACGGTTCCAAAAAGAGTGCAGACTGATGTGGAGCCGGCCAAGTTTCTCCCGGAAGAAGCAGTGGATGCAGCATCTGATTGCTTGATGTGGTGATTTCCCCTAATGGCAAAGTTAGCATAAAGATACATGTGCATTTGTGCAACAAGCACCAGCTCAGAAAGAATGTTTAGCACAGCTGGTAACATTGTTACCCCAGGAAGATCCGGCCTTAAGCCCCACAAGGTAAACATGTTGGGCTTCCTTTCTCTGAATCTTCCTAATTAAAAAATCTGATCTGGCACCAGAAATGGCCTGTTGATGCATCTGTGACTCTCCTCTCAACTCTTTCCTCCTCTCAACTCTCTCTGCCCTCTTGCGACACGGCGGACTGGCAAATCCCCTCCGGCTCCGTGGCTGTCTCAACCAGTGCGTGCCATGAGAGCCACCATGCAAGCATCGGAAAGGAGATGGCGTAAATATAAACAACCTGATGACCTGCTTGTGTTTCAATCTCTTCGCTCCTCTTTTTCTACTTCCATCTCTGCTGCCAAAAGCCCTTTCTACCAATCCAGAACTAAATCTTCATTTTCTAACTCCAAAAAACTCTTTTCTATCTTCTCCAACCTCCTCGAACTCACTAGTCCTCCACCCCCCTCCCCCCGCTCCTCTTTCTCAAACCTACCTCCTACTACTTGTGTCCCACTGACTTTACCTCTATCGCCCTCGCTTTCCTCTTTCACCAACCTGTCTCCTAACCAAATTCATACCCTAGTAACCTCTGCCTGTCTGACCACCTGCCCTCTTGACCCCATTCCATCACATCTTCTACAATCGTTCCTGACCTGCTTCCTTTCCTCATCTGTCTCATCAACAATGCTCTGTTATCTGGCTGTTTTCCCAATACTCTGAAGGAGCCAAGAGTTTACCCACTCCTGAAGAAACCTACCCTCAACCCTTCTGAAGGAAACAACTACTCTTCTTCCCTTTTCCCGGAGCTGTTATTCGCTTGCATGGCTTCCCCTACCACAGCTATGCCGATGACACCCAACCAATTCTCCTTCTCCTTCCCTCACTCTGACACCCAGGTGACGGCACGGATCTCTGCCTGTCTGACTGACATCTCTCATCTCTGGGAAAAGATTCTCCGACCCAGGACTTGACGGTCAACTTTGGCAACTCTGTGTTAACGCCCACTTTGACTGCTAGGAACCTCGCCGTGACACTCGACAGTCAACTTTCCCTGACTCTCAACATCACTGAGACAACACGATCCTGTAGATACACGCTCTACAACATCAGGAGAATACGTCCTCTTCTCACTCAGAAGGCAGCGCAGGTACTGATTCAGGCTCTTGTCATTTCCCGCCTGGACTACTGTAACTCTCCTGGCAGGTCTCCCTGCTGCCGCCATTCGACCTCTGCAGCTCATCCAGAATGCAGCAGCTCAACTAGTCTTTAACCTTCCCAAATTCTCCCACACTACTCTACAACAAATTGTAGAACTTAAATTGTACTTATAACGCCACTTATCTATAGCACATTGTAAATTAGCTTATTTGAGGAAATTAAACTTTCTTGTTTCTCGCTCTTCTGAGTTTGTATCCCTATGGTTGAATGCACTTTTACTTACTATTGTAAGTCACTT